TTATGGCAGCAGCAGCAGAGATGCAACCTGTTTAAAGCGAAGGGAAAATCTCTGCAGCAACAGATTTACACACCGAGGGACCAAAATCCCACCATCTGATCCTGCCAGAACCGAACCTTTCATCTCGACCTTGAGAGCATCCTCACGCCACGCAGACACGTCAATCATTCATTCACACGGAAACGAAACACAGCGACCAGCATCATCATCATCATCCTCCGCAGTGAGAGGACGCCTTCATCACCAAGGACAGCTCCCAAACCCCCCTCATGTCGCTTTCTTGGTTAAATTTAACTGTTTAAAAATGACATTTCTCCAGAACCGACAGGGAGGGGAGACACGCACACGCCCCGGTACTCACACTGCTCCGCCTTCGTGGACATTTCGCAGACACTTCGGGAGACATAAACCCGGACTGTCAGGTGTTTTGGTGTTCAGTGTCCCTCCCGGTGATGTGTTTCCCTCACTGGATGCGTGCGCCCTTTCCTCCAGCCAGGCTCCGTCTGATTGGACCATCTGCGCCGCGGACAAAGCGCCGCGCTGCGTCGGTTCCACTCATCCACATTTTACCAAAATCCAACCAGAACCCGTCTTATGGCTCAGCTTTCCATCCCGGGGATGATTTTTGTTTTCATTCTGCTGATATGAAGGGGAGAGCTGCTGGCTGGGTTCTGGCTCTGCATCCCTTTCCAAATGGACTGATCCGGATTTGACAAATTGTCATTCAAGAATCCGAACAACCCAATGGGCTGAAAACAGGAAGGAAAACCCTGACGCCTGTTTTTACATCAAATAACCCGCAGGACACGTCAGGATTTGTAACAGATTAAGAGGAATAAACATGCAACAGATGGTTTTTACCTGCTTTAATCTCACACCAACACTGATGCTTTTTTCATGTCTGCAGATATACACTCCAACATTTTATCAGTATATTGTATTAGTCTGTTAATCTTATTGTTGTAAATGTATTTTATCCTCCAAGACTCACAGTTTTAATTGTGATGTAGACATTAAAAAAATTCAAGGCAAATATCACAAAAAAACTTGTAGATTTCCACAAATCTGGTAAATTTTTGAGAACAATTTCCAGTTGACAATTTGCAGATGTGTACTTCTGGGGGGGAAAAAAGAGAATTTTTTGTGATTTCACTTTTTATAGGTTTATGTTTGAGTAAAATGAACATCATTCTTTTATTCTATGAACTACTGACGTCATGTCTCTGAAACGCCAAGCAAAACTTTAATATTTATTAGCAGAAAATGAGAAACGGTCAAAAAACACGCAAGAGACGGGTTTTAGTGTGAAATCTGTGTATAAGCTGAAAAAGCCAATAAAAAGGTGAAGATGGTGGAACAATGAGAGAAATGAATCCTGCTTCCACATGCCCTGAAAAGCGACTTAGTAAGGAAGAAGCAACAAATAAAACATTTTAAAAAAAGCTAAATTACAGTTTGAAAATCAATAATTATCTCAAAAATATGAATTATTTCATAGATAGATAGATAGATAGATAGATAGATAGATAGATAGATAGATAGATAGATAGATAGATAGATAGATAGATAGATAGATAGATAGATAGATAGATAGATAGATAGATAGATAGATAGATAGATAGATAGATAGATAGATAGATAGATAGATAGATAGATAGGCCTGAATTTATGAAATAAATATACTTTGCACATATTTATGTTTTTGAATCTTTATTTCTCTGCATGATGATGATTTTCTGTTCATAAAAACATTTAAAATGATCCAGAAAGCTGTAAATCTTAAAATAAAGACATGTAATCCAGAAATATGTTCAATATTCAATTAAATTAAACACAATTATGGAGCAAATGAAAAGTAAATTCACAGGTTATGAAAAAATATCCAACCTGTGAACCACATAAAGAAAAATGTTATAACTGGTGACTTATGGAAAGCAGTTTTATCATAAAATCTGTTTCTTCTGACTATCTGTAATTACATTCTTGATTTCTAAAACTATACTTTGACTAGACACAACTAAATGTCAAATTAAACAACATAAAATTTCCATAACATGTAAATAAAAAACTTTAGCAAACTTCTGTCTCAATCTGTAAAAGTAAAGTTGATTTTTACTTTTCACAAACAAAAGTCCTGAGAAACAGAAACGAGACAGATTAAACAGAGGGTTTGTTTAAATCAGAATAATTTGATGTTTGTTTGGTTTCCTCCGGATGTCAGGGAGTCGATCTCTGCCGGTATTCTGGGACGTGATGCAGAATCCATCCAGCCGGCAGCAACAGGGCCGCCCCAAACACGCACAGGGCGAAGACCGACTGCTGCAACGCAGCACAGACACAATCTGAAGTTTTTCTCAATTTCAAACTGCGTAATAGTAATTATAGAGTCACTCATTGTGATTTAATGTCTCAAAAAAGAATTTAAAGCAAAATAAATCAAGTAATTTAGTTTAAAATGAGACAAAACTAACATAAAAATTATTTTTAAGCAAGAAATAGGAGATTGTTTTAAGATAATTATTCCTTAATGTTGATTTTTTTTTAAGTATACTTCCACTGGCTGACTGTTTCACTTATAACAAGACATTTTTCCGAAAAGTGAAATAATCTGCCAGTGGAATTAGAATGTTTTACATCAATATTAAGAAATAATCGACAAAACAAGCTCATATATCTTGATAAAAAGTTACTTGTAAGTTAGTTTTAGTGTAATAAGATGTTTGAAGTTTTCTCTACAGACTAAACCAAAATTTTTGATGACATTTTGTATTTTTTTTGGTGTCTTCACACCTCATAACCACATGCAGAGTTATATGTCATCCTTCCATAAAATTTTCCTTTCTGCTCTGGTATTCCTAACCGGTTATAAAAGCCAGTCCCAGAGGACAGATCAGCGGGTTTATAGTGCTGTAAATGTTTGCTGCTGTGTTGCAGCCATATCACTGAATCCCTTTTCAGAGGCCAAAGCCTGGTGAATGAATAAAACATCTCCCCCACTCTGCAGAGGAGAGCGCAGTGTCCGCTTGAGTTCATCGCATTACAGCCAATAAAGTAACTCTGAGAGATTCTGCTCTCCTGAAACAGGTTTGGAGGTCCAGTGGATCATAAAATGTGGTTAACTTAACAATGTTTCATGTTAATTTACATGAAAACTATCATATTACAGATCACAGTTCTACCACAGTGGATTAGTCGTTTAGGTAGAAAAAAGGAAGTACATTACTGCCAAAAAACAGAGAAATTTTCAGACTATTCTCAGATTTTCTAGAAAAAATATGAGTATTTCTGTGTTTCATAGGTTAAAAACAAATCTAAACTTTTGAAACTCAAAATTTCAGTACACTTCTGAGATTAATCTAAAGAAAAAAAATTCTGATTATTTTTTGACACTCGAAAAATTAAAAATTAAGTATTTTCTCAAAAAGTTCTGAGAATTTTTTAGCTCTAAAATTTAAACTATATCTGAATGTTATCTTTATTAAAACATTTTTTAGCCCATTTTTACTTTTGGAGCTTATAAATTTTATTGTTTTTTACTAGAAAATTTCTGATATTAATCTAAAAATTTCGGATTTTTTTCCAACATTTGACATTCACAAAATTCCAAGTTTTTACAGATATTTTCTGAAATTAACCTCAAAATTTCACATTTTTATAGCAAATTGAAAATTTTGAAGCTCAGAAATTTCCAACATTTTTTCTAGAAAATTTCTGAGATTAAATTCTGAATTTCAAAGTTTTTTGGCTGAAATTTACTCCTCCTTTTATTTTTTCTGTCTAGAATGATCCTAAGTTGCTGTCATACATTCCTAGAACAGTACTATAAACAGATTTGCTCAAAATGGAAAACAAATAGTCAGTCCTACCACTGGGCTGATCTTTTCCTTCGGCGGTTTGCTGTAGATGGTTTCCCTTTGATTTTGCTGAACAGTTTTCACGAAGAGAAGCCTGGTCAGTGCGGCTCTCCTGAAGATTGAAGACATCCTTCCTGCTTCGCCTCTCAGCCCGTGTCTTTAATTTAAAGGAAATGTTTCTGCACAAATCCCCCTTCACGTCCCCTGAGGTACAAGCAGATAGGATCAACTTTAACAAGTTCCCATCATTCATCCAAGGAGGAGTTACTTCCATGAACCAAAAACACTTAAAATAACAGGAAAAAGCTTCATTAAGACAGCACCAGTGGTCTAGTTTGTGTGGCTGCAGGAAAAGCACAAAATATGTTAGATTTCTAATTTGACTTTACATAAAACTCTAAGTGTAACACAGAATGAGAAGACGGTTTAATTGTTGACTGTCCTTGCAATCAATGCTAATCAGACAAAGCAATAAAATGTGACAATTGCATGACTTGTCACTTCTTCATAAGAATAAATCAATTTGTTGCCAAATCAGATTCTTCTCATTCAAGAAAATCATGCATCTCTACATGCGCTGCTGTAAGTTACAAACTAATTCAATCTATATTTAAATTTCTGTTTCCCAAAGATACCTGAAAAAATGAATTTTGTCCTTTTCTGTTGTTTTCAACAGGAACATTGATAACCACTTCCAGCACTAACCCAGGGTCGCTTTACACAAGTTAGTTACACAAACCTCCATCTTGATTTCTCTATTGATTAGCTGAAATTGAACCTCAGTGCATTAGGTGTCTTCTGGCGCCCTCATCAGGATGCAAAAAAATGATCTGCAGTGGCAGATAAATCAATTAAACAATGTTTTCAACACATTAAATCGCTACTATCATACTTATATGATAGGTAGAAAGTGTACATTTTGATTTTTAATTATTTAAAATCACCATATATTTTATACCCAATATATACATTAATTAATCTTGTAATTTTTTCCCACTGTTAATTTATGTGAAGAGTCGCTAGAGGGCGCTCGCAAATGAAAAATTGCCCAATCTGCTGCGAGTTCTTATGTTCCTTTCTGCAAATAGAGCGAAAGAAGCTGTCAAGTTAGCGGAACTTTCATCTCACTTCCGGAGTTAAAATTCGGCACACCCAAATGTTAATGAGTTGACATTTAAAATGTAGTATCTGTATCAAAACTAGAAACGTATTAAGGTTAACTGTAGTTGTTTAATGTTCCGCTAGCGTTCATGGATCGTTTCCGACTATTCACGGCTAGCTGGTTTTATTTTTGAAACGCTGAACCGGAAGCTGTGATTTCATTTCAGCCAGCTTGGACTCGTTGGCTTCGGGATAGGCCGTAAAAATCACCCAACAAGGCGTTGTGGGGGAAATACCGAGCCGAACCGAGACTAAATAAAGCTTTCGTTCAGTTTTAGGTAGAGGTAGACTCTGGGAAATGTGGGGAAGTCAACGGAAGTGGAAAAGGTTTCGTATTTTCACGGTTTAATTTGGTGGCTGACGTCGATCGGAGCGTAATGAGCAGAGTTGGAGAAAGAAGGAGCTGAGCAGCTTTTTTTTCCTCCCTTCCTCTGCTGATCAGACAACTTGGATCGGACTGAACTGCGCTATGATCCGGGGGCAAACTATGGACAGGAAGCTCTGAAGTTCCAGGTAAATACGGTCCGAACGGTTTTTGTTCAACAGATGTTTCTCAGCTTCCAGGAAAACACCGAAGAGTTAAAGCCACAGATAGCTAAGCTAGCTGCTGAGGAGCTGCTGCTAATTACACTGAAGGGGGACTTAGGAGGTCCGAGGAGGACTGAACAGAACCGAGTAAGTGTCAGGAGGGCTGAGACAGGACGAACTGGACCCGGGGGAACTGAAGAGTGTTGAGGAGGGCGGAAGAGGGAGACTAGAGAGTCCTGATAGGGACAACTGACCCTTTCTGATGGGGACAGAAAGGGACTTGGAGAGGCAGACTGACGAAGACTGTGCAGGACTAAAGAGGTCAGAGGTCGTTTGACGACATTTGAGAAGGACTGAGAGGGTCTGAGGAAGACACAACAAAACTAAAAATGCTTAGGAAGGACTGGGGAGTACTCGGACTGAAACGATTAATCGCGATTAATCAATTATTGAAATAATTGTCAACTAATCGATTAACCATTGTATACAGACTCAAAAAAGGCTGAAAGAACAGCACATTCAGAGCAATAATTAGTGGAGGGATGTCCAAAGTGTGGCACAGGGGCCATTTGTGGCCCTCTGGAGAATTTTGTTTGGCCCCTGGGTTTGCAAGTATAGGGAGAGATTTTTACAGACCAATAAAATTGTCTTAAATATTTTTTTTTAGGTACGAGGCACTATTTAGTGTATCACTTTAGAGATACAAACAGCAAAGGACTTCAGCTAAATCTTAGTTTTAATTAAGAAAACAATTGGTTCCCATTTGGTTCTCTCAGTTTGACAATTTGGGCTCCACTAGCAAAAAGTTTGGAGACCAATAAATTAAGCCAAAACTGTTCTAAAAATGCATAAATTTTGCATTTAAAATTGAAAAACAAAGCTTTTCTGTAAATATGTTTACCTAGAATGACTCAAGTTGCATAATTTTATATTCAGCTGTTTCATATTTTGTAAAAAAACAAAAAACAAACAAATCTATTTAGAACTTTTTGCTTTTGAATCATCAGTCAGTTAATCTAAAAAATAATCACTATGGTATCCTTCTGGTATTACATTTTATGTAATAACAGGTTTTAATGTTTATTTCCATATTTTATTGTATTTCTAATATTGTATTGAAAAAAGATTATGTGGTTAATAAAAAGTCTGCAGAATGTGCCTTTTTTAAAAAAAGATCACTTACTCGAATAATGGTTAGTTTGAATCCTACAGCTCTGGATGAGGGTTGAGGACGCATCTGGACTCTTTATTATTATTTATCATTTTCAAACATTTATGACAATTTCCATCAATGCTGCTCTGAAATTAAAAGTTTGGACTCTTCTATGACCTTTTCCGCTTCCCTCACTGATCTGCAGAGCTCTCCTGTTCATCATATGTTAATTAAATAAAAGTATATTAGCATAGGCCTTTAAAGTGATTCCTCTGAGGAGCAGTTATCTTGAGGTAGTGAGGAGCCATATGCAGGCTGTGATAATCCTGCAGTAATCTCTCTGAAATTGTGGGTCCACTCCCAGCCAATGTTTCAGATCCTCTGTGAAATATTCTTTGTTGAACAGGTTAAATGCTGTTGCATTGATCTGTACTTGACTGTAATAGTTGAAGTTTTATCCTCAAAAACCAAAACTTGGCATGAAGTTAAAGGAAGTAAACTCTTGAGTATTTGAAACAGCTGGACTTTGGTTTGGATGCTCCTTTCTCTGTCTGGTTGAATGGAGAACAAAACAATGTTATTGTTTCCTGAGATTCATTCCCTGAATCCATTCATTTTTAATCCAAAAAATCCTAAAAACAAAATATTGGTGGAACTTTGTTTTTGTTTCTTGGCCTCCAGAGCTAAACGCGACCAGCTGACTGTCGACGTCGAAAGGGGAACTGTGCAGAAGAGCAGTTTGTATTGTTAATTGTTCTCTGTGAGTCACTGAAGATTTAAATAGATTTTAGCATTTCATTGTCCCTATTCAGTCTGCAACTAACGATTATTATAGTCATGAATTATTCTGATGAGTAATTAATTCATCAGATTAAAAAATGGGCACATTCAAATCACAGAAGTGTTTTTTATAGAACATTGAAAATACATTAAAAGATTCAAATAAAAAGTCCACTGCCTTCTTTAAATAAGAAAATAAACATTTTATTGCCTAACATGCAATAAAATTGCAATTCTGGACTAAATTTGACACAGGTGAAACTAAAATACACTAGTTACTGCTATGATAATGTTGGGGGGTTTTCCCGGCAAATTACCTTTTTATTTCAGTGTGTATCCTCCAGTTAACGATTAATCAATTAATATTAGATTTATCAAAAACGGTTCGATCTTGGAAAAGGGTACTTGGACCTCAATGAGACATTATAAATAAATTAAGGTTAAAAAAATTTGATTGTTTCAATGATTGATCATAATTACTTTGATTAATCAGATTAATTGCAATTAATCCAATTAATCATTATTAATCACTATCAATTTGATTAAAAATCTAGATAATTTGATTAAAAAGCAAGTTTTAGATTTTAATAGTTGATTAATCGTTTCAGCCTTTTATTTACAGACTTTCCTGATTCTTTTTGTTTTTCGTGCCTCCTTTAGCCGGGCCTGTAATCAGCCTAATGAGAAACTGATTTAGTTGATTGGGGCAGCCTGTCGCTGTTGTCCCTGCAGTCTTCCTGCTTCCTCAGGGAAGGGTGAACTGTTTTCCCATCCACCTGCAGCCCTCTCCTGCAGTGTGATGATGTGTGCATCGACACGTCACAGCTTTGGAGGTCACTCTTTGTTAGAAAGTTCTGGTTTCCCTGCGCTGCTCTGTTTTATGACCTCGTTTTGGGGCACGTCTGATCGTATCAAATATCTCCCGAGTCAAACCGTCTATAATTACTCACTATTTCTGTCCTGCTGGCTTTGTGAAGCACACAATGCCCACATCTCACAGGTCATGTTTCAGGTTTTGATGCAGATAAACTGTTAATTTACACTCCAACAATGTTAAAATGAATGTGCTGCTCACGAATAAACACTGAAGATGTGTTTTTTTTTTTTTTTTTTGCTAATTGATTTCTCAGGTTATAAAGATACTTCCAGCTTCCATTTTCTCTCACCATGATGAGAAAATCCTCATTAATGATTGATGGGCCCCAGCGAGTCATTTGAATAATGAATCCTCTCCTTATGTCATGCATTTCCAGGTAGATGCAGTTGTCGTCCGTGTTTTGGTTCTCTAAGCCTTTCATTGTGTTTTAAAACGGGAAGGAAAGGGAAATGCTGATACAAGGTGAGCAGCTTGAAGTGGAAGGGGGCAGGGAGTGTCTCATGTCACCTCTCATTAGGGACGCATAGTCCAGCTCAAACTGTGTCTGCAACACTAAACCAGCTCTGTTGGGAGAGAAACGCAACCAACAGCTCTTTATTGAGGCCTGAATGTGCAGAAAGTGGTCTTAAAGTTGCACCGTTACTGGAGATTCAGGTCTCAGTAATAAACTCCTGGATGAGGCTGTTCTCATGCTGCTGCTTAAGTTGAATTTAGCTTCTTTTGGCTCCAAAGTGCTGTGAAGACGGGCATTTCATGATTTATTGTGAAAGATTTCTTATCATAGTAAGAATTTTGATTTATTATGATACATTTCAACTGTTGTTAAATAAAACTAACAGTATAATTGGAAATTTTGTTTTTGCTATTTTTGACATTTTCTTGTCTGAAATTTTGCTAAATGTAGAAAGAAAGTGGATCAGTTGATAAAAGTTGGGTGAGTTTTGTTAACGGTTTGTTATCATTTGTTAATTGGTGCATTTGTTTAATTCATTGGTTCATTTTTTTGGTTTGTTTTGTTCATTTGTTGTTCATTCATTCTTTCATTAGTTCTTTCATTGGTTTGTTTTGATCATTGGTTCATTTGTTTGTTCATTAAGTTATTTGTTGTTTGGTTTTGTTAATTGGTTCATTCATTCATTGGTTCATTCATTCATTGGTTCATTCGTAGGTTGGTTCGTTCTGGTCAGAAGTTGTCGTCCTCTCAACATTGGACACTTCTGGGATTTCCAACAGGATTCTAAACACATGTCATTGTTTGTGTTCCTCTGCTATTTACTGAGGGAAGTTTAACCAAATATTAGTTCGTGTAGTTATGTATATTTGAGCCTATAGTTTTGTAAATTTTTCAGTTTCTGAACTTTTCATTTGCTTGTTGCACTCTCAAAAATGAGGAGTTCAAATAATCACAACCTCCCCCACGCCTAAAAAACAGCCACTCATCATCATGCAGATGATGAGTGGATGGAAACTTTTACTGGAACTATCCATCTACTTTTACTGGAACTATCCATTGGTACATGAATGCCAACAACTTCCTACAATAAAATCAGGTTTTATTTAAGACTATAAATCACAACGTCATCAATAAAGCCTTGATTCATTTGTTGTCGTTTGTTAATAAAATAAAATAAAAAGTCCAGTCTGGCCGCAGTTGATTCTTTGGATTTTATGCCGATCATGACATGTTAATGATCGGGTTCACATCACATACTATTCATTTTCTCCACCTACCTGCAGTCAGAGCTAAAGGCTGCATTTAGATCTGTCTCCACTTCTCTATCGGTGCTGCTGAATTAACCCATCACCCAACTGCTGGTGGCAGACTCCCAATATCCGTCCTGTCGCCTTGTTACACTCAAAATATTCTCAAATTACCTAAAATATGAATTCTGATTCTCTAAATTCATGTTCCACCATTAGCATGTAATGGGCATAGGACTGGAATGTCCGGTGTTTGTATATCTGTTTGTTTTAGTGTTGAAGCCAAGCTACATCTGCATTAGATTTGTTGTTGACTGGTGATCAGTTTCCTGAGGGGAGGAAGAGGAAGTCTCTGTTGAAGATTGCAGATAAAAGCCTGAACACGAAGATCTTAGAAGGAAAACTCCCTCAGAATGTCTTTTTTTAATCCACACAGGCCGTTGAAACAGCTAGGACGGCTGTGATTGATCACTGCAGTAAAATCAATGTGGCTGAAAGGAGGTGATGGATGTAATTAGGTGTTTCTCTGTTCAGCCTCCTCAATCTGGCGCCGCAGGGCGTTCGTTATCTCACAGGGTCTGGGCGGCACGGCTTAAAAATAAAATATAGAATTTGTTTCACACAAATCAGATTTTTATTTTCTTCCTCTCACTTGCTTTTCTAAAAAGAAATCACAAATGACTGATAAGAAAAGCTTTGTTCCAATAAAAAAATAAATACATTTGAAAAATTATTTTAAAGCTGAAAACAAATTTTGAAATTGAAAAAAATTTAAACTGAAAATAAAAATTTCAAACTGAAAAAATATTTTTAAACCCAAAAAAATGAAAAAAAAATTTAAGCTAAGAAATTGTAGCTGAAAATATTTTGATACAAAAAATTTAAACTGAAAAAATGTTTTGAAACTAAAAAAAAGTCAAAGAATAATTTTCAGAATTTTGTTTTTACCCCGTAAATCTGAAAAGTGGTTTCAACATGTTCTTAGTTCAAATTCAGATTATTTTTCTTTGAAGCTGAAAAACATGTAAATAGAACAAAAACCTAAAATTTTTATTTTCAGTTTCAACTTTTCTTTTTTGTTTTCGAAAAATGGCTTTTATTTCATTCATCGCCTCTGCAAGTTGTGCAGCAAAGTATGAGGGTCATTTTTAATTATTTAATTGCAAAAATATAGTCAAAATAAAGAGAATTTCGCCATAAGAACATCTTAAAGAAAAGACATTTTAATGAGAAAAAATCTTAGTTATCAGTATTAGGGCTGTCACAATAATCAAGAAATAGATTAATTGCATGATAAATTTTCTCCCAAAAAACGAATGATAAAAGTCTGAACTTGCTCTTTTTGTGGAGGTTAGTTAATGTATTCATTTGTTCTAATTTTTTTACCTTTACAGTTACTTCCTACTGTAAAAAGAAAAAAATAATTTCTTGACATTGATGCATAAATTGGAGGTAAAACTGTTCTAAAAGTTATAAAAACTGCAGCTTCCAAGTGGGGAAGCTGCACAAATCAAGGGAGTAAATGACAGAAAAACTTCACAATATGTTCAACTTTCCTCATTTAATTTGGTTATTTTTCATGTCATTTTCCTCCAAACTACAACTTCATTCTTCTAATATTACACCTTCATTCTAGTCATATTAATACTTCATTCTTGTATTAATTCAACTTTATTCAATTATAACTGTAGTATTTCTAGAAAAGTCTGATATTGTGGCTTTATTCTTGTAATATTTCAACTCTATTCTCCTACTGGTTTGGTTGTATTTTTGTAATATTAAAAAAAGAAAATCTGGCCCTAATATTTCATCGAAAAGTTGACCTAATGTCAAACGACGTGATTCACTCTGAATTGGTGGAAAACAAATTCAGATGTGCCAAAAATTAAACCAAAAATTTGATTGAATTGAGATGCTAGACGCAGTTTGACTTTAGTTTTCTGTCTGTTCTCTTTGCTCCATTTTTTCGGGGTTCAGCGGCCGGAGCCTGGGGCTCGGAGGCTTCAGGAGATCCATGCCCGACCTCCACAGCTGAGAACCGAGCAGGATGACTCAGCACCAGGGGGCCCCCCCAAAAAACAAGTGAAGAGACGTAAGGATGGGGGCCAATGGATCCAGTTATCCACACTCCTGCTCCCCGCGCATCGGGGGAAACACGCAGACGCAGCAGACCTTTATAGGTGAGTTCATTTAAGCTTCTCCATGCTGCGTTAAAACCCGGATTTATTTTTTTTTCTGCGTAATGAACCAGTATATATGTCTATCCTTCCTACAAATGCATACTAATAGGGCTCTGCCATGCACTTACTCACACTTTAGATTAGATTAACCTGCTTCCATGGCAACTGATGGTGCAGGAGGTGAATAATTTTGTGCATAAGAGCTCTTGAACCGGGCTGTTGACTCGTAGTGCCGAGGCTGGAGCATTAGCAGGAGCTTCCACGTGCCTTTCGCTGCCGCTTGGCCTTGTTTTGAAGCATAGTCAAAGGCAGGCGAGCAAAGAAATGCAATTTCAAATCTCATTGACCAGAATGACATCACAAGAGGTATTTTTATAATTTTACACCCTGTGGATTCACAATATGTCTACTTGAGATTTTACTTTGTTAGGACTGCAGTTTATTTTAATAATCATTTGTTCTGATGATTAATCGATTAATTGGATAAAAGAAATGGGCACATTTTACAGACTTTTTATGAAACCACTTAAACCTTTTTATGCAGTTTTACAAATACATTAAAATATACAATCCAAAACAAATAATTCAGTTCCTTTTTTAATTAAAATAAATATTTTATTGCTTAAAATGCAACAACAGAACGTTCCTTTAGTTAATTTGTGAACGTAAAAATGTTTTTGTACAATTTTGGTTTAATTCGTGCTCTGTTTTGTTTTCAGCAAATAGCTTTTTTCTGAGTCTCCAGTTAGCGATTAATCAATTTCTAAAGTAGTGACTGTTATTTTTAATAACTGATTAATCATTATTAACCCAATTAATTGTTTCAGCTCTATTTTAGATTCTTCGTAGTCACAGTATGTTTTGTGACCTTATGCTTTATCAGTGCTGACTGCAACTAACAATCATTTAAGTAATCAACTATTCTGTCGCTTATTGTGACAAATCTATTGATTGGATAAAAAAGTGGCACTTTCTATAGATTTTTGGTTTCACACATTTAACAATGTAAATAAATGATTCATATTTATAAATAAGAAAATAAATATGTTATTGCTTAAAATGCAATGATGGCATTTCTTTAATTTATTTGGACAAACTACAGCTATCCTTTAGCTTAGTTTTAGGGATCTTAAAAATAGACATTTTTATCTTAAATGCAAAATAACATTTTTCATAGTTTTGGCTTAGTTGCTGCTCTAAATGTTGTTGTTTTTTCATCAAATTTCCTTTTTAAAACATCTGTTTACTCTAGTTAACGATTAATTGATTACTAAATTAGTTGATGATTATTTCAATAATTGATTCCTCACGATTAATCGTTTCAGCCCTAACCTTTAGATGACATGTAGACGTGTGCAAGCTGCCCTTTGAAAAGTTTTAAACAGTTTCTCTGACAGAAAAGGTTGTTATTTTGCTGTGATAGCTGGTTTTAGAGTTGAACTGAACCCTGACTGTCTTCTTGAAGGAAGAGAAAAGACTTCTCTCATCTTCCTGTGGAGTTATCATGAGCTTCGTCTGAGAGGTTAAAGTTTCTAAATGAGTCGAGCCCCAGTTTCTTTTTAGTGGGGGGGAATGCATTGTCAGAAGAGCCAAATGATCTCTGTTGCCTGTTGTGTCCTGGAGCCGCTCAGTCGATCTGGCCCAGCCACAGATGATTCAGAGTTCCAGTGATTACGATGTGGGTCACATTGATGGATGCTGACAGGAGGTCAGGCGGAGAGGATCTCCTTGGCAGAGCCTCTGCTGACGCACCCACGCTGTCTCCATAACTGCCATTTAGTGGAGCAGATTGGTCTAAATCTGTGAGAATGGCTTAAAGTTTATAGGGCTGAATGATTAATCGGCTGAATCATGATTAATCGATTATCATACGGAATTGTAATTGGATAAGCAGTAACTGGAGATTGTAAAACGTGTCATTTGCCCTCAATTAAGTCACAATTGCATTAAAAATATGTTTATTTTGCATTAAATATGAAAAAAACTACCTAGAACTCATCAGGTGGCTTAGTTTTACCTTCACCTGTTCAAATCCTTTTAATTAGGCACCTTTTTATCTATTTTTTTAACAAATTGATCCAAAAAGAGAGTTAACCAATCACCCCCCCAAAGTACCGATAAGTTTTTTGCATGTTTTTAAATGATTTGTAGCATAATTTTTGACAAATGATCAAGTGTACGCCAGAGGAGTTCTATGTCATTGCATTTATGGCAATAACATTTTTTATTTTCTTATTCAAAAAGGAATTTAATTATTATTTTTATTTTTGATATTATATAAAGTAAGCTTAAGTGGTTAAATGAAAAATCTGCAAAATTTGCCCATTTTTTAATCCCTATTATTTGATCAATTGTAGGAATATTTGATAGACTAATAATCGTCGCTTGCAGCCCTAAAAGTTCACAAAGGACCACAGCGTCTTGATTGGCTGTTCCTCTGTGAGGAACCAATTTGTGCTATGAAATCAAAAGAAACGGGGATCCTGGATGTCTTGCGTTGCTGCTGGACGTGATCCAGGTGCCTGATCAGGCAGCGTGCGTCCAACCTGCAAGGGATGCCAGAGGCAGGTTGTGTTTCAGTGTTCCCGCCTGCAGCAGTACCTCTGGTATGACCACAGAAACTCAATCAAATCTTTTTTCTTATTGAATAACCTATGACTGGAAGCCATGAGTGGCGCTTTGGTTCTGTTCAGGCTTGTGGAGCCAACACAGAGATTATTCACACACACTCATGGGTAATTTAGAGCCTAATGGAGAGCTTCTGGCCAGTGGGAGGAAGACCAAATGTCTGCAGAGAACCCACACAGGCTCCAGGAGAACATTAATAAATCATACCCAGAGGCTGACGCCAAGATTCAACGAAAAGCTTGCTTCCGCATCACCTTGGACCCTTTTAGCAGATTAGTACTAAGGGTGTTTTCACATCTCGTAGTCTGGTAGATTTGGTTCAGTTGGGGACCAGAGTTGCAACATTTGTTAAATTTTCAGCTGATGCGGTTCTCTTTCTCATTTCACTGTCAAATCAAACCCTTTAAAATAACCTGTTTCCCTCCTCACCTATGGGGGGCGCTGCAACACGAACCATGACAAGAAACGTCACAAAAACCTATGAAAAGAACATGAGAGCAACTTCCTTTTTTGTAAAATGTAAACAAAAATAGTAACATCAGATTTTAGTGTTTGTTTTCCTTTTTCTGTAGTAAAAGACCACAAACTGTTTCTTCTCCTACTCACATGTTTTTTGGTCGCATTTACCCAGAATGCCCTACACGAATGTCCGCTTCCTGCCTTTGAAGCAGTTTTCGGCCCGCTTGGCGTTTACATATGCATTCAAACTGCATCAGAGTTCACTTAACAAACTGGACTTTCTAGATAAACAAACTGGATTTTTATTGAAGCAAACTAAACCAAAGCACCAGCTAACACTAATCTCTGGCTCAGACAGTACTACAGTTTATATCAATGCTACAAACATACCACTGCATCTCAGTAAATTAGAATCATTTATTGGCCAAAGTCGGAATCAGCAGATCAGGCTTTGTAAATATTGTTAATAAGCCAGAAACTGCAATCAGTGCACCCCTAAAAATAGAGAAAACATCGTTTCCTCCTTTCTTATTCCTTCCTGTGCTTTTGTTCCAGGAACGTCTTCATACTCCCAACAGGGTTATGGCTGGGAGTCCAAGCTGTACAGCCTGGAGCACGGCCATGAGCGACCGGCAGACAGGAAGAAGAAGAGCCTGGGTCTGGCGACGCTCAAACGGCGGTTCATCAAAAGGAGGAAGTCCAGCCGCTCAGCGGACCATGCCCGGCAGATGCGGGAGCTCCTGTCGGGTTGGGACGTCCGCGACACCAACGCCCTGGTGGAGGAATACGAGGGAACCGGCGCCCTCAAGGAGCTGAGCTTCCAGGCCAGTCTGGCCCGCGCCGAGGCCCCCAGCCTGCAGCGAGACCTGGCCGCACTCTATCAGCACAAGTACTGCACTGACGTGGATCTCATCTTCCAGGGGACCTGCTTCCCGGCTCACCGCGCCATCCTGGCCGCCCGCTGCCCCTTCTTCAAGACCCTACTGTCTTCTTCTCCCGGTTACGGCGCCGAGGTCCTCATGGACGTCGACACGGCCGGCATTGACGTGCCCATGTTCTCCGCTCTGCTTCATTACCTGTACACGGGAGAGTTCGGGGTGGGCGGAGCCGAGGACAGCCGGCTGCAGAACGTGGACGTGCTGGTTCAGCTCAGCGAGGAGTTCGGTACGCCCAACTCCCTGGAAGCGGACATGAAGGGCTTGTTTGACTACATGTGCTACTACGACGCTCTGCTCAGCTTCTCCTCTGACTCTGAGATGATCGACGGCTCTAACGAGAGAGGGGCGGTCGCCGCGGTGCCGACGGGCTCAGGAGGCGGCGGCGGCGGCGGGGCGACCCCAGAGGAGGACCTCAGGGCCCACAAGGCCATCCTCTCTGCGCGCTCGCCGTTCTTCAGGAACCTTTTACAAAGGCGCATTCGCACGGGGGAGGAAATGACAGAGCGCACGCTGCAGACCCCCACCAGGATAGTTTTGGACGAGTCCATCATCCCACGGAAATACGTGCAGGTCATCCTCAACTGCATGTACACGGACATGGTGGACCTGGGGCTGGTGCTGCGCGGCAGCCCGTCATCGTGCAGTTTGGGGGAGGTGCAGGCCCTCGTTTCAGGGTGCAGGGGGGCAAGCACACGCACGGAGGAAGCCATGGAGCTCTACCACATCGCACTGTTCCTGGAGTTCAGCATGCTGGCTCAAGGTAGGAAGCCACCTGCACACACAGACACGGCGAAACTAACCAGAGATCTCAGTTGGGCTGAAGTGATTAATCGTGATCAACAGATAATTTAAATAGTCATCGTCTAATTTAGTCACTGATTAATCTTTAACTAGAGTATGCAGACTTAAAAAAAGCAGTTTGTTGAACGAATAACATATTCAGAGGCGTAATTAAGCCAAAATTCATACAATTTGCATCTGAAATAAAAAAAACATCCTTTATCTGTAAATATTTTCTACACAAAAATCCTCATTTAGCTTCACCTGTTCCAAATAATTTCCTTTCTTTACTTCCTTTGCTAGATTATTCTTTCTTTTCTATCTTTCCTTTCCTTCTTTCTTCCTTACTATTCTTAATTTTCTTTCCTTTCCTTTGCTACTTCCTTCCTTTGTCCTCTTCCTTCTTTCCTATTCTTCCCTTCTCATTGCTCCTTCCTGGTTCATCCTTGATTCCTTACTTAATTTTATTTCGTCCTTCCTTTGTTAGTTCTTTCCTTCCTATTCTCTCTTCTTTCCTATCTTCTGCTACTCCTTCCTTCCCACCTTTCCTTTCTTCCTTTGCTAGATCTTTTCTCCCTGCCTTCTTCCTCTCTTCCTATTTTTTCTTCCTCTGTTCCCATCCTTCCTCACTTTTCTAGACCCTTCCTTCCTTCTTTTCTCTGTTCCTATCCTTCCTTTCCCTTTCTATCCTTCCTTCTTTTGTTCCATCCTTTTACTCTTTCCTTCCCTCCTTTTTTTAAACTCACCAGTCTCTTTGTCTTTTATTGTTTCCGCTCTTCTGTCGTTTTTGTCCAGTTGTTTGAGGTTTAGTGCAGCCAGAGTTTTTATGATCTGTAAATTTGCTGATGTGTTGTGTTGTGTAATCCAGTGAATTGTTAGTTTGGTCTCATTCCTCAGTAATTTCTTCCTTCCTGTTCGGTCACTACCGCTGAAATAAACCCTCAACCCAGAGTGCGATAACATAAATCATCTTTCCTGAATCGATTTGCACGCTCACTGCATCCTAAATACAGCGTCTGCTGCATCATGAGATTTTTTTGTCACATTTGGCTCGATTTTATTTGTTTTTCTACGTTAATTATAGCCTTTTTGTTGTTGTTGTTGTTTTTTTTTTTACATGTTGTCTAACCTTCAGCGCTGATAGTGCACATTAAAATGTGGGTTGCACAGCATCACTAAGTGAGATATTAGGCGGTGTTAGTGCTGCGCCTGGCGGGAACATATTGCAACAAGCAGCTTCTGGGAGCGGACAGCTGGTACATGCATTAGAGCCTCCGTCAACACTTTCTCACCGTTATATCTACACTCGGATTACACATCGCTTTGACTCCCCACACCGTTTTACACGCTAAAGGTTGGCGTCCTGCTCTGACCTGAACCAGCTGTTTTAACGCCCGCCCCGCCTATGTGTGAGCTGCAGTTTCAACCCAGGTTAACTAACTAGCAGTACAACTTGCATTTATAAAATTAGATACAATATCCTTTGTTTTTCTGTTTCTAAATATATTTATTAGCCTTTTTAACTTTTCTGAAATAGATTTTTATTGTTTTTTTTATTTCCGAGACACAAGCAGTTTTTGTCAGCTGTTGGCGAATTATGGTCCACCATTATTCCTCCCTCCGGTATTTACGCTAGTCCGCAAAACGGCGACAGCTAAAGCTGAAAGAAAACACCAGTCAGTTGGTTGTCAAACAACATTTTAATACATTTTGGGAAAGTTGTATCTCCTGCTGAAAATTAACAACATTCAACCTATATAAACTAAATAAACTAGCAAACAAACTGAAAACTAAATAAAATTAAGTTTGACAAACAAAAAGTCACAACGAAATAAAGTATCAACCACTGTTATTATAGTTGACTAAAACAAACGGAATAATTAAAACTGGAATTGAGAAGACATGTTTGTCATCTGAAACAAATAAAAATGGTATTTATTGGGGAAAAACTAGCCTTCCTTTCTTTGTCCCTTCCTTTCTATACTAGTGCTACATTTTCCCTCTTTGTTTCCTAGTTACATCTCCTTCCTTCCTTCATTTCCTAGTTCTATACTTGCTTCCTTCCTTCCTTTTTTCCCAGGTATACATCTTTCCTGATGTTTCTTCCTTAAATGTGAAATATTTTTACATGTTTCATATTTAAAACCTCTCTTTTGTAAAAACATTTCTGAAATAAATTCAACATTAGCTTCTAATATTTAAAGTGAACATAAAGGACAGAGAACTCTGGAATTCTGGGAAAAGTAGGAAATCTCTAAGAGGTGCAAAAACGTCACAGATCGTATTTTGAAATATAATTTCATATATAGATGTAACAAAAAGTAGCAATTCCAGCTGCATGATCAAAATTCGGACTTTGAAAACAGCAGTTTGTTCTTATCATGACAGCGCTTCTTATCACAGCAATAGTTTCCTCCCAAAACATTAAACAAAATAATAACCCATCTGTGCAAATGTTTGGTTTTCATTTAAAATGTGTGAAATAATCTTTAGCATATTTTACCACCTTCCGCTATGTAATCCACAGAAATCCCAATAATATTTCTTCAGATTTATTTACTGTATTAAAAATGCGGTTTGTTCTGGCTCCATGGACTCTCTGCAGATGTTCCTTGTGGCTTTAATTAGATTTAGCAGACGTACTTTGATGGGTTTAGCATCTGTTCATGCAAAGTTGCATACTAATCCATAAAGCCGACTCATTTACTTATAAAGATACTTCATCCTTTTCAGCAATGATGCAATCCGACTGAGTGGAAATATGCGACTGTTTTGACTTGAAAGAAAGGGCAAAACATATGGTTTAAGGAGGAAGGCGAGATGTCTCGCAGGAACAGATGTTGGAAATCCTTTCAAAGGGTTAAAAGTGATGTAAATAACTCAAACTCTCGCCTGTCTGAAAGGCGTATTGCAGTAAATAATAGGGTGTCACCCTGTTGGTCAATGTGGTTGCTCAACCGGTGATCCACTGTTCTGCACAGATCACCAAATGTGACCTGCTGCCGTCTTTCTGAGCTCACTCTGCAACACTGCAAACCTTAACCAGGGTTCATACTGGAAATCCTTGAAAATGCTTGAATTTTAATGACTTGATATTCAAACTGCAAAGTATTGTATCATTTGATCAAAAGCCTAAATTTGTAAAACATTTTTTACAGTTGCAGCCAAATATTTTCATACAGTTGTTTTGTTTCTCACTTTTTAAAGTTAAATCAGACTAAACTTTTCATTTTAGGTTAGTTAGAATAACCAAAATTATTTCAATTTGCTTAATGGCACTTTTTAATTACTGTGCTTAAATATTTTAATTTGAGCAGGAAAATAATTTACCTTAACACAATTTGTTTGAATTGTTTTCAGTGAGAGGCTGGATGATGTGGCTGAAAAGCGTATCACGATTAAAACATTTCATATCAGATGACGTTGATCATTATTGACTTGTTTTTTTTTTTTTTTTTTAAATATCTGAAATGATCCCAAACTTGTTTCCTGCTTTATCCGCATTTTCACTCCATTCTATTGTTTATTTTTACGTCGTTTTGAGGCACGATGGGAAAAACCTAAAACTGCTGCTGCGAAAGTTACTCAACAGGTTGTTGCTAGGTAACTGAAGAGTGACAGTTGCTAGGTAACCAAAGAGATAGTTAATTCCACTAACCCTGTTCAGCTTACTGTACGAGGTTCAGCATCTAAAGTCTATATATTTAATATTAGATGTTTTACTGATATTGATTACAAGTCTATTATATATATTATTGATTTATTGTCCAACCCCATTTCAGAGTATTAAATATTTATTATTCCTAATTGCTCAATGACTCACTGATCTGTCCAATTGAAATTCACAAGAAATTGAAAACGCATACTTTATATCATATAATACTGAATTGAAATTGTCCTTTTGGTCCATTTGTATTGTTTTATCTCCAAACTTTTCAAACTTACCTTGAAACGTTCTTGAATTTTACAGTGGGAGAAGTATGCGAACCCCACCTAAATGACAAATCATCCTGCTGTACGTTGGTTAAGTTTGAGCTCTGCCATGTCAAACATCAGCGACTCCCAGGTTCCTTCTGGAGGCAGCAGAGGCTCATGTTGCGGAGAAAACCCTCTAATCTGTCCCAGTCCTCCCCCTCCTGAACTCATTACCGTTTCTCTTTGACAATACGACGCTCTGCTTCACCAAAGCTTTCTTTGTCCATATTAACTCCCATGCATCCCATTTCGGATTACATTTTACTTGAATTAAAAGCTGTGTTCATTTTGAAGCACGCCACTGAGCTTCTGGATGGAAACCAACCCCCCTCTCTGCCCTACACTTTGTCTGCTCTGTGTTGTGACTGTTAATTAAAGCTGCAGCACCTCAGCAATCATCCAACATCATTTCCAAGCAGACTTGTTTAGACTACTGAACGCATGTGATGTTTTACTTTTGGGACTGCGCTCCAGGAAACGGCTTCAGATGAAAACATCTGAAGCTGCTGTCGGTCTGCTAAGCTCTGTAAAGGAGGCGTTCCACCCCGCAGAGAGGAAAGGGGAAGCTTAGTGTTAGATATAAGACTGAGTCTAATCTCCTGCTCATAATAAAAGTGCTGCACTTTAAAAGCCAAGACGGGAATGTAGGTTTTAATGGACCTACAGAGAAGAACTGGATGCTGTCTTTTCCCACATGGGGAACCGTCTGCTGCTGCCTGAGGTGGAAGCACTCTAAAAAACATACTGAGAACATGTTTTTTAGATATTTGTTAAAAATGTCGTGACGGCATAATATGAGACATCATCTGTGAAAACATCGATCTCGTCCATGAGCTCCTGTGTCCGTCTGAAGAAATGTACCGATCAAAACACCCAATCAGAGCCAGGAGCCGGGTCTTAAACTAAGGATGTGGCATGAAACTCATATACATTATGATGGGTGGAGGTAACAATATCACAATATGATTTGTGTGAAACTTACAATAGAAACAAAAACAAAAAGCTAATTGAGTGGAATGTATATATTTGTATGTTTTAAAACTTGTTTAACACTCATTGAATACTTTATGCTGCTGCGTATCATCAGGTCCTCCTTTAAAAAAATCTCATTTTAAGGGAAACCTGGCAAATTACTTGCACTTTCTTACTTCCACATACATTACAATTTACATTTTTCTGCTCCCAGTTTTACTCTTGAACCTTCCTGTGGTCTTAAGAGGTGAAGTCATATAAACCCCACCAGTTTTTTTACTCTATGCTCGGTCCAGCGGAGTTGCACTGTGCCCTTTTTACAAGGCTTTCTTTTTTGTGGTTTCGGAAAGACCGTCACCCAGCCCCATGACGCTTCCCCGCTGTCCGACCGTGACATCTGCCTTCTGCTCCTGAGCGTTGCATTAAGACAGAGCATTTTCCCCTCTCCTCTCCATTGGCTGACCGTGACATGTGCCGCGCTCCTCCTGAGCGTCTCGCTAAGACCGTGGGGGGTTGAACCCGAACCAGGTCCAGATCATTGACGTTTTTGCACCTGACTTTTTAACAAGCTCTTCTCTTCCTCTCTCAGCGATGCTGCTTTCTGCTTGCTCTGTTTTGATGCCGACCGTTACGCCATCAACAAGCATTACCGCGGTTAGCCGGTAAACTCCATCATGGGGAAAAATTTCTATAATTTCTACCGGATACCTATTGCACATTCCTAAAATAATTCTCAAATACTTGCTGCTAAATGTGCTAATGGCAAAGAAACAACTGACCATTACAGGAAAACAGTTTTATCTGCCATATTCGGTGGCTATGCTAACTAGCTTAAGCATTCACAACAGGCTATGCTAGCTGAAGCATAGCAGAGAGCAAGATTGACAGCACTGGGATGCACCAGGTTCTAATTGGTTGTTTCCAGTTCATTTGTTTTTTTTTTCCAAACATTATCTGTGTCATACTGTCTATCGTAATTTATATTATTGATTTATTGTCCAGCCCTCACATCTAGTTTATTTTTCTGCCAAACAAAGATCATTTTAGTAACCCTAACTGTTCTAAAATGGTAAATTTAGCTTGATTTTATGCCACATTATATATAGTTTAGGTAAATATCTTGTTGTGATGGTTTATTGGTTAATAGTCCTGATTCTGATCATTACGCTGCCTTTGCTGGACCTGCAGTTAGACTCAGATCTAACTGCATACTAAGAACATGTTTTTTAGATATTTGTTAAAAATGTTGTGACGGAATAATATGAGACATCATCTGTGAAAACATTGATCTCGTTCATGAGCTACTATGTCCGTCTGAAGAAATGTACCGTTCCAGATCAAAACAACCAATCACTGGGTTTAACGAATAGCAGCCAGTTTCCCAGGCTGCGTCTTCAAAGCAGTGGTTTGGGGCCGGAAGTGCAGCTTAAATTTTCTGTTTCAAGATAAGATGGTCCCCGAGGAGCGATGCTGCTGCCCCATAAAAGAGATAAAAGATGAGACCGGCCGCAATCTAAAACTTTCCAGGTTTCTATTTTAGTTAAGAGCAGCTTTTGGACGTCCAATCCGCTGTGTTAAATAAGCTATTTGAAAGCCCTCTTTCTGTGTTGGCATAGATGCGCCTAATCGGAATGGTTGTCTGATTCTGTCTAAATGGATCTTGTTTAGATTTACTGCTGAAGCCGCGATGGCTGAATGTGCAGAGCGCAGTTTGTTTTATTGTTTAGCTTTTTTTCCTCCAATGCTGTGAGCAGCGCTTTCATAATTCCCCCAGCCTTCTGTGGCTTTTAATGCAATTTTGATTTATGTTCACACGCGTGTCCACAGTTGCTTGTTGTGTTTGTGTGCTGGCGACGGCTGTGTTTGTTTAACACGGTGAGAGGAAGGCAGCTTGAGACTGAAACATATCAAGATATCAAAGCATTTCTGTGGGCTGGTGTGTTGCAGGGTAAAGCCGCTGCCTGCTGCTCTGGTATGCGCTCTGATTTAAGAAACGCAGCATGGAGGGATGTGGCGCTACTAGAGAGAGGCTCCATAGGTCAGTGAAAAATAATCAAACCTGCTGATGGTCTGGCAGCAGTGCAGGATGGACTGAACGGCTGAAACAATTAACCGGCGTAATCGTGATTAATCGATTGTTGAAGTGACCGTCAACTAATTTATTTAATCATGGAATACAAAGTCTCTAAGGCAATTTAATGAAAGAACAACATATTCAGAGCAGTAATTACAATAAAAATACTTTTAAGGTGTAAAGAAAACAAACCATCTGCAACTCAAAGCTCCTCATGTTGACATAATTTTAGCTTCAAATTCTGTACGAAAAAAATGTAATTTTAAGCACCTTTTGCAATTCAGTTATTAAATGGTCATCCAAAATCAACCTTACTGTGTTTATTTTAAGTCAAGCAGAAAGGGCTAAGCACAGTAATGTTCAAAGTATTTTTAGCTGCAGATTCATCCTTTGCCAGCGTGCATTAAAGGAAAGCCCTGTTTTTGCATTTCAGTCAGTAAAATATTTCTTTAACTTATTCAAAAAGTGAATGAAATTATCTGTTTATTTGCATCTTAGAATATCTTAGAATGTTTAGGCTATTGTGTAAATAAAGACTTAAGTAAAAAATCTTAAGAATTTACCAAATTTTTTATCAGATCAATCGTAAGAATAACCGATTCATCAATTACTACAAAAATCGCAACTTATTTAGTAATCAGTTTACTGATTACTAAAATAATCAATAGTTGCAGCCCTATTAAACTGTCTGTTTTATTTGGTTTTTAAAGGGTTTTTGTGCTTTTCAGGGTTTCCCACAGCTCATTATAAGCCTGGCGGGCCACCAGGCTTTACTTGTGCCCCCACCAGGCTAAGCATTATTTATTTTTGTTTCTTCAATAATTTTTTTAAAGACTTTTTAGTTTGTGTTTAGGTATTAATCTTCCAGTCTTCCAATAACACATAACTATCAAGTGGTATTTTCAAATTTCCTGCCAACTTTAAACATTTTCTAACTCAAAGACATGGCGGCCAACTGGATGAATATCGGCATATAAACTGCTTCTTTCCTCTGTCAGGGTGCGAGGACATCGTTGTGGAAAGTTTGTCCCTGGACTCTCTGGTCCCCATCCTGAAGTGGAGCTCCCAGCCGTACGGCTCCAAGTGGGTTCACAGGCAGGCCATGCACTTCCTGTGTGAGGAGTTCAGCCAGGTGGTGACCTCTGACGTCCTGTACGAGCTCGGCAAAGATCACCTCCTCAGCGCCATTCAGTCCGACTACCTGCAGGTAAACATCCACACCTTTCAGCTCGTTCTGTGCTCTGCTGTTATTCAGATGACGAGACTCTTAACGCGTGCAATGTGTCGGAGACTTTTGAGCTCTGAATCTGACTCCCTTTCTTGCATCCTTTCCTCCCTTTCTTACGTTTTCTCCCTTTCCTCTCTCACCTGTGTGTTTTACTTTCCCTCCTTCCTCTGTATCCTTCCTTCTTCCTCTCCTTTCTCTCCTTGTTTTCCTCCCAGGCAAGTGAACAGGACATTTTGAAGTATGTCGTAAAGTGGGGCGAGCAGCAGCTGATTAAGAGGATGGCAGACAGGGGTAAGATAATACACTCTATAATTACCCTCTCAGCTTCCCTTCTAATTGCTCTGAGGAAATTGCTCACTTACCAAAGACCCAAAAAATACACTTAAGAGCTGAAAAAAGGCTTAACCTCAGGAATGGAGTCAACATAAAGTGGCCTAATTTTCATTGGCTGTGTCACTGTGTTCTAGCCTAATGATAAATGAGACGCTGTCGGGTCAATGCTCCAAGTGGCTCCAGAAACATGACGCATGCTGCAGGAGAGGCCATGTTTAAGATGTTTCACTAAATTAGTAGTTTATAAACTCTTTGGCATCAAAATCAAAGTTTTAGCAAAATAAATAACCATATTTATCGGACTGCAACTGACGATCACTTTCGTTAATTGATCAATCAAATGATAAAAACCTACAGACTTTTCATTTAGCCGCTTTTTATACAGTATTAACATACACCAAAAGATGCAAATAAACTAATTATTCAATTCCTTTTTTAAATAAGAAAATGAAGATTTTATTGCCTGAAATAAAAAAAAAACATTTCTTTAGTAGATTTCTTTAGAAGAAGCTAAACCTGCTACTTGAGGAGTTTGGACAAACAAAGGTTTGAATCTTAAATGCAAAATCTATGTTTGTTTTATACAGTTTTGACTTATTAATTGATTAATAACAAAATAAATTGAGCCATCACAATTAATCATTTAGACTGTCATACAGTGCAAGGATAATCTGTTGACTTTGTTGTATTTTAATTGTATTTATTATTTCTTTCCAAGAATTTGAAGTAGGTGAAGCTAAAACGCCACTTGAGGACTTAACCAATTAGCTGACGATTATTTCAAGTCGATTATTCACGGTTAATCCGATTAATTGTTTCAGCCCTACATATTTATGTGTTTTTGTATGAATTCGGCTGATTGTTTCCGTCTTCGCTAACCCAGAGCCCAACCTGCTGAGCGGCACCGCCCACAGCGTCAACAAGAGGGGCGTGAAAAGGCGAGACCTGGACGTGGAGGAGCTGAGGGAGATCCTTTCTCCACTCCTGCCCTTCATTCGGACGGAGCACATCCTGCCTCCCAACAGTGACGTCCTCGCTGACACCGTCAGTACTCTGCCTCTACTTCAGCTGGCATTTTAAAAGGGACTTCATTAAGCAAAACTCGCATTTTGAATGTTTTCGTACTTCCATTTGGGTTTCTACTGAAAACATGCTGTGGCTGCAGGAAAAGACGAATGTAAACGTTTAATTGAGCAGCTTATTTGGATTTAAAGTGACAAGAGGCCCTAAAACTGCTCAAAATAGAACAAGCTGACTAAAAAACTCATTGTGTAAAATTTTTTTGCACAAAATCATTCTAACAAAAAGGTTTTAATAGCTCATAAATTTGTCCTTACCTGTTCAAGGATGCATAGCAGATCATCTTTGAACACTGTGAGCTTCACCGGTTGATCTCTGTTCATAGCTGAAGAGGGGTTTGATCAGCACCCCTCCATCAGACATGCTGCCCACAGCCGAGGGGGGCAAGGCCAACGCCTGGCTGCGGCAGAAAAATGCAGGGATCTACGTCCGACCGCGCCTCTTCTCTCCTTATGTGGAGGAAGCCAAGGTGAGTCTGGCAAATACACCAAGAGTCTCATTACCAGGATGGAAATTCATTTTTTATTTTTTGGGTCCATTTGCAAATTTTCATTACGACCTGTCGGCCTTCCCGGGTCTCTGAATATTAATGGACATGTCTGCAGGGCAGTGAGAGGCGTTATTAAGAGAGCTGTCAGTCAGGTGGAACAGATCGGGAAAATCTACAACCCGTCCTCGACTCGGTTACTTTTAGGGCTGCAACCAGCAATTATTTTGAGTAATCAGTTATTCTGACGACTAAACGATTGAGTAGATTAGAAGATGCAAATAAACAAATGTTTTCTTTTTTAAATAGTAAAAATTTTATTTCCTAAAAAGCATTTGTAGCAAAGAATGCATCTGAAGCTAAAAAATACTTCTAACATCAACATGTGAGAAGGAAATAATTTTTTTTTACACATTTTGAACCAGGAGAAGCTAACACTATCCCACTTGAGGAGTTCTGGGTGGAATATCAGTTGTTTTTTTTAAATCTTAAATGCAAAATGTTTTGGTTTAATTACTGTTGAGTATGTTGTTCTTTCAGCATTTGGCCTTTCTTCGAGTCTGTGTACTCCAGTTAACAATTAATCGATTATGGAAATAATTATCAACCACTTTGATAAACAATTAATCATGTCAGTTATTTTCTCTTTGGTGTATTTTTCTACATGACTTCAGTCTGTGCTTGATGAGATGATGGTGGAGCAGACGGACCTGGTGCGTCTGAGACTGGTGCGCATGTCCAACGTCCCGGACACTCTGTACATGGTGAACAACGCCGTGCCTCAGTGTTGTCACATGATCAACCACCAACAAATGGCGGGCAGCTCCAGCACGGCTCCCTCCGTCGTGGCCAACGAAATACCAGGTAGGGCGACAAATGAGTTAATAAATGAGCGTGCATCAAAATGTCTGCAGGTAGAAAAGCAGCGGGTAAATTGCTGGAACCTCTGCTCTGTGCTGCTTCCAGTGCCTCCTCTGTCTGTGGTGAAGGACATGATCCGCAGGCTGCATGAGCTGAGGCACACGGAGCAGGTCCAGCGAGCCTACGCCCTGAACTGTGGCGAGGGAGCCACGGTCAGCTACGAGCTGCAGCTGAGGGTGCTGAGGGAGTTCGGCCTTGCAGATGGAGCCACGGAGCTGCTGCAGGTAAACCCAGCAAACAGGAGGATTTAAAGGGGCGGCATCATATAGGATTAACTCCGTTGACCTTTACATCATCTGATAATGTTATTCCCTCATCAAAAACATATCCAGAGTGTTTTTGAAGTCCTTCAGTCTCCCATGGCAACCATCTGGTTTGAGTGAGGAGCTCGCCCACTCAGCTCTTTCAGACTAGCCGGTAGCAATTAGCAAACACCTGGAGGAACTGCATGTCTGCATTGCTCATTATAGGAACTACTTCTCAGACCAATACTCCGAAGAACAGTTGAAAACCGTATAATGGAGGTGTATTGTTTGGTAGGAGAGTAGGAGCTTCTTAAAGAGGCAGAGGCCAAATTTCAAGGCGTCAAATTGCAAAGTAAATTTTTTTTTAAAGTTATACAACTGAAAGTAACAAGATTGTACTATAAAAAGAAACTATGTGGCTGGAAAATATGTGATGCCGCCTCTTGACAGGAGAGAAAACGTTTCTCTCCTGTCAAGGGCTGCAAGAAACGATTATTTTACTAATCAATTATTCTGATGATTAATCGAGTAACTAGATTTTTAAAAATAATTGGCATATTCTGCAATTTTTTAAATTAATTCAGCTCATTTTATGCTAAATTAAAAATACATGTAACATGAAAATAATATAATTTCTTTTGTTTGTAAGAAAACAAATATTTTATTGCCTGAATTGCGAAAATGTGGAATTCCTTAAGTTTATGCTTGATCAATTTTAGCTGCAACAAAAACATTAAAAATACTTTTCGCTGGGTAAAACATATTTACAGAAAGATTTTTTTTTATTATAAATGAAAGCTGTATATATGTGTTTGTACCTTTTTAGCTTAATTACTTTGTGTTGTGTTTTTAGAATCTGAATGCTCCAATTAGCGATTAATTGATTACTAAATTAGTTGATGATTATTTCAATAATCAATCACAATTAATCCGATTAACTGTGTCAGCCCTGATCTTGTTTTACTTTCAGAACCCATCCAAGTTCTTCCCAGATGAGCGTTTTGGAGACGAGAGTCCGATTCTGGCCCTGCGTCAAGTGGGCCGATGCCGTGTCAACAGCAGTCCGGCTATGGACAGCATGATAACGGACCTGGAAGGAGTGGCAGGCTTCCACCCTCCGCTGCCTCCTCCGCCTCCTCCCTACCACCCTCCCGCCACGCCCAGCCACACCCAGCTCAAAGGAGGCTGGCGACCCCGGGTCCCCATGCCGACCCCGACACGCTCCTTCTCCTACCCCTGCAACCGGACCCTGATCCAGCGCCACGCTGCTTCCAAACACGGCGGTTCGGAGTACTCCTCGGCGCCCAGATCCCAGCCTCCAGACTGCACCAACCCCCAGGCTATGGGCCGACCTCTGCTGTCAGACCAGCAGGCGGTAAGTGTGGCGTGAAAAAAAACTCCAACGAACAAATATTCTATCAATTATACTGACGATTAATCGATTAATCGGATACAAAAATTGGCACATTCTGCAGACTTTTCATTTAATCACTTCAGCCCTATTCTCCAGTCAATAATTGATCAATTTCTAAATTACTGGAGATTGTTTCAGTAATTGATTCAGATCTAGTTTTGGGTAGAACATATTTGCAGATTAATGATTTAGTTTTTTTATCCTAAATGAAAAATGTATGTATTTTGTACAGTTTTGACTTGATTACAGCTCTGACTGTGTTCTTTCAGAATTTTTTTTGTCTGTATTCTCCAGTTAATGATTAATCAATTCCTAAATTAGTTGACAATTATTTCAATAGTCGATTAATCATGATTATTTGTTTCAGCCCTAATTTTGGGACACATTTTCTTCATCTTAAATGCAAAATGTATATATAATTAAAAAGTAATTTAATTACTGCTCTGGCTTTGTTGTTCTTTCACTGAATGGCCTTTGTTTAAAGTCTCCCTTTAATCAACGACTATATTAGTTGACCATTGTTTCATTAATTGATTAATAATTGATTAATCCAGTTAATTGTTTCGGTCCTAGCGTTGTTTTTACATCTTTTGCTCCAGTTGAGGAGTTTCCTTCGACCTGTTCATGTTGTGTCTGCTTCCTGATCAGATGGGGGTGGAGCCGATGATGAGGGAGTTCATGCCGGACATCGCGCTCGGCGTCTCGGTCATGTCTCTGAGGGAGCAGCACATGGATGGCGAAGGCCTTCACAGCCCCATGGGGCCTTCAGGCCATCACCTGCCCTGCTCTGCTGCGCGCCTCAGCCACGGTTACGGCCCTGGACACGGCCACTCCTGCAAGAGGCACGCTCCAGAACCCAAGCTGGAGGCCCAAGCGGAGTTCCCCGACCTGTACGACTTCTCCTGCAGACCCGCGACCCCGACCTCCGCCCATCCTCTGCCCGCTTTCGCAGGACCGGACCTCTACAGCCATAGCTGCACGCAGTCCGGCTCCTACCCCCCTCCTTACGTTTCTGACTGCCAGAGCCACAGCCACCTGCAGGGACGGACCGCCCCGGACCCGCTGCGACTGGACGTCCTCAGCTTAAAATCCCAGAGACATGACGGCGTCCTCTCCAGTCCGTCCGGACCGCAGCCGAGGACGAGTCCGTTCCCGAAGGGGCGGCCGAACGAGACGGACCTGACCCACGGTTTGGGTCATCTACGCTCCCCCAGCGGGAACATGGACTGCTACGAGGAGGGACCCAAAGACGCTCCAGAGGAGATGGTTCTGGGCGGAGACCCGTCAGGTCCGGTTCCGCTCCAGCAGTCTCACAGGAACAGTGTAGGCGAAGAACTCCTCAGAGACCGCAGATCGCCCAGCAAACCAGACTATCCCTATAAGAAATCTGCACTTTAACCCCAGTTCAGGAGGCGGGGTTGAGTTGGGAAAAGGGAAAAATGCGATGAGCACTAAGTGTGTGTGTGTGTGTGTGTGTGTGTGTGTGTGTGTGTGTGTGTGTGTGTGTGTGTGTGTGTGTGTGCGCGTGGGTGTGTGTGCGTGCGCGAGTGTGAGTACAAGAGTCAGAGAAAAGGGTTGTAGCCAGCGCTGGGCGATTTGTTTTTCAGATCCGATTTCAAGGGATTTTATTTTACTTGCCTACATTTCAAAAAACTAAATAAAAAATATTTTCAAAAAGTGACTTTTATTTCAATATTTCAGGCTATTATTATTTTTATGTAATTGTGAAAAAATAGTAACAATATTAGCAGAAAAAAAAATCTTAAAATGTCAAAATGTTCCTTTAATGAGAGACAATCTGGACCAGCATAGTTTGTGTGTTATTATGAAATGGAAACAATCGTTTCAAAGTCCCACGACTGATAACAGTTTGATGAAGTAGTTTCTCGTCCAAATATCTTAGTTCACTTAAAATGATATAAAACCACGTTTTCTGCATGATATAGGAGCTTGTTTTAAGTTGATTATTACTTAAAATTGATTTAAAATACTATTGAAGGACTGAAAGATTATTAAACTTATGACATTTTTTCCATGATACAAGTCAAATAATCTGCCAGTGGAAATAGCACTTTTTCGTCAATATCAAGGGATTATTGACTTAAAACAAGCTGCGAAAAGTTACTTGTGAATTATTTGTATTATTTCAAGTGTACTAAGATATTTATGCTAGATACCAGACCAAAATTACTTTGTAAGAAGTTGTAATTTTGCAGTATTTAAGTGTTATGTAAGAATGTATTTCAAAACAGATCTAGACAAAGTGAGCTAGTTTTCTCATTAAAACAATTTTGAGATGTTTTTTCTGCTAATATTAACTGTAATCTTATAACACAAACATTCTTGTAGCCTGAGCCTGATGCTACGTCATACAACTGAGTCCTGATAATTGAAATAAAACACTTTTATTTCAAAATAAACATTTTCTGTCATCAGAATTAAAAAAAAAAAATCAGAATCTGGTCCTAATATTTTGTTGTAGATTTGATCTATATTCAAAATCTAAATAAACAGAAGCTGTAAAACACGCTCGTGAAACAAGATGGCGGCCTTGGGCGCGCCAACATCTGAAATATGGAAACCCAATGAGCGCATTGGTAATAAAAATCAAATCATTTCCCTAAAACGAATCCCCCAGCTGCTGGTGTTTCCTGTCCTACCTCCACAGCGCTGCGCTCTCATCACACAGTCGAAGTTCAGACATGAAGCCATTAGAGGATTTCCGCAAATATCCTCTCGATTTCGGTCAGCAGGAGGTCAGCAGGAGACCCTCGGATCAGCGGAAACATTTAATCTGAGTTTATGAACCCGAGGAACAGGAACACACGCACTCAGAGGAAGTGATGCAACAAAACGTAGAGTTAGAACATAGATCCGCTCTGCTGGGTTCTGCGTTTCTTCATGTAGCATTTCTGACGACACGTCCTCACCCGTTCATCTCTGACAGGAAGTACACTGCAAAAACACAACATCTCACCAAGTAACTTTTGGTCTAGTTTCTACTGCAAATATCTTAGTACACTTGCAATAAGACACAAACCAACTTTCAAATAATTTTTTGGCAAGATATATGAGCTTATTTTAAGCTAATAACATCAATTTTAAAAAGTACCTACTCCATTGGAAGATTATTTAACTAACAAGACATTTTTTCAATGTTTCAAGTGAAACAAGTGGTAATTTTGATAAGGTTATACTACCACTCCTTTTTAAACATTACAAAAATAATGACATTCTGTTTTTTTGTACTTATTCATAAAATAATAAAAATCTGCCACTGAAATTAGTTCTTTAGATTCAATTTAAAAATAATTAATTTAAATATTGTAACTCATTAATTCAAATTAAAGGTATTGACCTACTTCAATGTGAATCCCACAACAATAACTCAATATCTTGGTAAAACATTACTTCTAAGTTAGTTTTGTTTTTTTCAATTGTATTAAGATGCACTAGATAAAAAATACTTTAATATTTTGTGTTTTTTGAGTGTAGCTCATTACTAATGAGTGACAAAAGTGAAGAAAGCAACATCTGTGTGCTGTTATGATCGTTATGCAGCAAACAAAACTGTAGGAACCTTCTGCCAATCAGAGAGGCTGATTGGAAGCTTTTAGCCAATCAGAAGCAAGTCAGGTGTTTTCAAATCTGTGCTACAGATCATGTAGTTAAGCATCAAGTAACCACATTTAAAGCCTTAACAAGCGCTTCAAATTACATTTATTCACATAAAAACATTTTCAGTCTTTCACTTTGACTTTCTCTAGGTTTGATTTATTCATTTATGCATTTTCCTCTCACATTTCAAAAAAAATTTAAACATTTTTAAAAAGTCCACATGTACATATCAGGACTTTTGCAAACCTCACTAGCGCTGGATGCACATGCAATGTTGATAGTTGGAGACCGGCTGCAGCTGTAGCTCCGAACTTCTTGTTTCTTACAGAAAGACGGCAAATAAAAAATAAAATAAAATTTTAAAAAAATAAAAATACCTGCATCTCAGACTGAAATGTAACCGACGGTAACACAAAGTCGGCCCTTGCTGGCTCAGGTCTCCAACGAGGAATTATGTATATATTGATTTAAGTCCAAAACATTCAGACTGCTTGTGTTTTTTTTTTAACAGTTTGTCACATTTTGGTGGTTGTTGAAGGTCTGTGTGTTTTTACTGTAGTGAACAACACTGTGTGCTCGTCTTTGTCATGAAGCTCTCACTGAGAATGTGTGCTATAAAACAAAAAGATTGTGTTTAAGGACGTTTTCCATAAATGTTATGCATTAAGGACATTTTTTTTTTTTAGCTGTAGATGATGTGAGGATGTTTCCTCTCTGCTTTGCTTCGATAGAGCTGCCAAGCAGAAAAGTCTTTTCTTTTTCTTTTTTTTTCCAGCAAGTTGCTTCATGGGGAAAAAATGCAAAACTCCAGATTCTTCCCCGTCTTCATGTTTGGTAGCTTTTAATAATTATTTTTCCAGGCCAGTGTTCCACTGAGTCCCGGGCGTTTTGCTCTGTGCTGTAGAGGAGTCAGTGCCTTTTATTGGAGGAGTGACTTTGATGTCTATGCAAGCTCTTTTCTACCAGCTAACCAGCCTGCATCAGAAAGTAATTTGAAAGCCCATGTAGCTCGTTTTGTGTACAGTGTTATTTAGCAGCTTTTTAAAAAGAAAAAGAAAAAAAATCAACCATCGGATGGATATGTGTTGAATTGTAACAGGTACATTGTACTTGTATGCTATCGCTAGATACCTTGTTTGTAGATTAATAAGTTGCATTTAGTTTCACTGAATCTATTTTTCTACTGTTGCCTCAGAAGGTGCATCACAGTGGTCAACTTCTCAAAATAAACACTTTAATATGACTGGGCTGTGTTTTTGTTCTTGTTTCACCGTTAACACTTCTGTCAAAGGAAATGATCATATTTGTGAAAACCTAGCAAAAAATGTACCTAGAGAAACACATGTTCAGAGTTATGGTCATTTTACTTCACCTTTAATCTTTTTACAAATAACTTCATACTTTTCTCAAATATCTCTGTGGGTGAGTTTTCTAAGAAAGGTTTATGGCCTTTACAAACATGTTATATACGTTTTTTTTTCCCAACATCATTCTTAAATAATGAGATTTTAATCTTCTAAGGTGCTGTTTTAGGGCATTTTGTCTCTTTGAATCTAATTAACCGGCTTCTGGCCAAGGATCCTAATTATTCAACCTCATCCAGATGGTAAGTCAATAACAAAACCTTTGTCTTTTCCAGCAGTGATTATGAGGTTTAAACGAGCAAAAATGTTGAGTAATGGTTGAGAGGGGGAAAAAATGTGGGGATTTCTTAATTTATTTTAACACATTTCTGTAAATTTGATTTATCGGTACTGTTGAAATCGATAAAATATCCACATACTTTTTAAAGTAACAGTAACAGCATTATACTGAGGAGAACATGCATGCAGAGCAAATTCTTTCTTTGCAGTTCATGCAAGAGTTGAGAGCGCAGAGCAGCTTCTTGTCTCAGCTCGTCGAATCGCTGCAGGGTCTGAAGATCCTGCAGATGTGTCCGCATCTCCCTCAGCATCTCTGCACTCCCTGCAGTCTGCTCTCTGTTCCATTGTTTTGGCCTGTGACAAGACTCTCTGAACTTCCTCGTTAGTTTGTTTGCAAGAGGAATTCCTGTTTTCAGCTTCCTGTGGAACATAAAAACATCTGATGAAACATCGACCCAAGCACTCAACAGAGATCAAATCCATATGAAGAGCTTTTTCTAGTCTGATGATTACCCTGAGGAAGAGGAGGGACAAGACAACAAAAGCAAGTTACCTCAGTCCACAGCTCCACCTGGTGGCAAGCTGGGGTACAGATGTTCATGTTATGTTTTAAATACGAATGATGTCAGTTTGCTTCTTCGCCCGTTTATATTAAATCTGCAGTATGCAACTTTTGTAAAAGAAATAAATTTAAATAAATAAAAAGGATGATCTGCCTTCTGTCAGTGATAACTAAAAACAACCAATCAGAGCCAGGAGGCGGGTCTTAGCGCTTGTCTCTGCTTTCCCTATCAGCAAATCTTGTTTTGAATGCTAATGCTAGTTAGTCTCGCTAACGATTATGGCGGATAAACGGTTTTCCTGTTACCATAAACTGTATTTAGCACCAAGTGTGTATCTGTCTTGTGACAGTTTATTAAGTGACAGATACTTTGTGAAAACATTTAGTAGTTTAAAGAAATGCACTGTTTCCAGTTAAAAACAAGCTAAAAATAGACCAATTAAAATAAAAATAGACTAAGGAGAAGGGTCTTAGTGCTGTCAATCATGCCTGTGTACATGCTGCTGAATGTGCTAATAGCATAGCAAGAATTCACTGTTCCAGGAAAAACATTTATTGCTGGCCATACTAGCTTCCATTAGCAGTTGTTGCAGGCCACATTATGGTGAACTAGTTGTAGCGTAGCAGAGAGCGAGTGGAGAAGACACAAGAGTGATTGACAGCACGAAGACCCTGATCCTGGCTCTGATTGGTTGTTTCTGACTGAGTGGTGCATTTCTGCAGTTGGCACTGGGAAGAAGCAGAGAGGTTAAAATTATTGTCTCATCATGAGACAGTGATGATTTCTATTAGGTTTATATGTGATGGTTCCACAGAAAAGGAACATGATTACTCAAATATCAATCAGTCAATCACTTTATTTTGGTAAATTGTCCACATTAAACACAGAAAACAATAAACAAACCCATAAATGACCCAAAAAGGAACAGGCTAGAGTCAAGTTTATTTCTGCCTACCTATTTTTATACCATCGACCTACCAAGATATTCTTACAATACATATATAAATCTACATAACAGCGTAAGATTTTACCGTTTTACATTTTAAAGCTCTTCTTTTAGAAACTCTAAACCTGCAGATTTCTGATCACCTGTGAAAGAAAGAGTTAAACAAGTGAGGAGATTTTTAAACTATTCAGTACAAGAGACAATAAAGGGAAGACAGGATTGCAGAAATTCAGATTCCCCTTTTTACTTCTCATTATTACTCTCACTGCCTGCAGTGCTTTGAAGAAGCAGAAGAATTTTTTTGTCAGATTTTTGGTGCAATGTTCTGTAAAATAAAAAAATGACAAAACTCCACTGTTGAATTAAGAATGTACAGTTAAAGAAAGGAAGCCGTGAAAACCTGATTAAAATTAGATTCAAACATATTCTGTCTTCTTGAATGTGAAAAAGCAGAAACTTTGCACTCCATAATTAATTTTAACCTATTTTATCAATAAACTGGACTTCACTGTATCTTACAACGAATGTAATGGACTTTTAATCTTTCTACAAATTTGGTTTAAATTTTCTGTTTTTTGGTGCCTTGAAATTGTATTCTGAAAATAAACTAAATCATACTAAACATGACTAAACTATAAACTAGTTGGGTCTAACTTACAAGTTAAAGAATAAGAGGAAGCAAATGCTGTTTATACTTTAAAACCGATATATTTAGTGTGATACGTTGAAACATTGGGTTAAATTAAATCAGAAGCTAAACGTTTTTAAATATTCTATTTCTAAACATTGCCAATGACCTAGTTGTCCAGCAGGTGGCGATATTGTTCCATGACAGCTCTTAAAGTTATCCACTATGTTCCACAAACTAAATATTTGACCACTAAGTTTCTGGGAGTTTCTGGGGTATATTTTTATTTTAAGTTGATAAGATAAAGAAAAAGGTAACGATTAAAGTACAGGCAGATTGTGTGAACTCAGATCAACCTGATAGAGGTTTTATTTCTGAGCTGTCAGTAAAAGGTCCCAGTTTTTTATTCACCCAAAAACTTTACACAAGTAAAAGTAGAACCACTTCAATATGTTTCACTGAAGTAAAAATAGAAAGAAATTACTCAATAGTAAAAAAGTGTTTGGTAAAAAGTCTACTCAAGTAGCTTATTGAGTATCAGTCATGTTTTTAATATTAAAAAATTACATAATCAGATGGATCAAAATCTAAAGTTAAGTGGAAATATTGGTGTTTTAAGGACCAAAATTAAAATGATTCATATTAGTATAGAAATGAACAAAATCAGGCAAAATAAAATCTTTCAAAACCAGTTTCTTTAAATAAAACAACTTATAAAACTTTAATAAAAACTGCAGGTGTGTGTCAAACTCCAGTCCTCATGGTTCAGAGCCCTGCAACCTTTTCATGAGCCTCTGCTGCACCTGATCAGAATAAACTGATCTACACCAGGAGGAGGTCATTAAGTCTTTTCAATTCCAATATTTTGTACCGGTGGAACATTTGAAAACTGCAGGACAGTTTTTACCCTAACCCTACCCCTAACCCTGGACGGGAGTTTGACACCTGTGATTCATTCAGTGGGTAAAAAATCTAGAAGTAAGAGTAGAAATACTTCAAAATAAAATTACTCAACTAAAAGTAAAAAGTACAGGGTAGTAAAAATACTTGAGTTTTTTTGCTTTTCCAAAAATGTTACTAAAGTAAAATGTAACTGAGTAAATTGTAACTAGTTACTACCCAACTCTGATTTTATGGACATGCAAAAAAAGGCCAGTTTGATGTTAGAAATATGACAGAGGAGTCTTTCTATGTATGAAACCAAACAAAACATTTTCAAACTAAAGAGGGGAATCTGGTTTGGTATTATTGGAGCAGGAGGACCCGGGGTGTTCGCGGTCAGCTCCCAGGGTTTTGTCATTTCCGTGCCGTCAGTGAAGGCAGCAGCAGGACCCAGGGTGTGTGCAGTCAGTCAAGCTGACAGAGGGAGACAGGGAGAGGGAAACACGGGCAACATCTGTGCTTGGTTCAGCTGTGTCCGTTTTCGGTTTCCTCGGGTCTCTCTGCGGTGGTCGGACCGGATCATGGACCGGTCTCTGAGCTAGTTCCCGAGGAAAACACGGACCGACCCCCGGAGCTAAACCTGCAGGTTGGTTAGCGGTGCTATCCTCCCGAACTGGTCTAGTCAGTTAGTTTCTCCGCTGGTTAGCATCTGGCTGTCAGCTGCGTGATCTTCTCAGGCAGCGAGGATGAGCATCTGAGGTTCGGATAAGCGGGTTTCAGCGTGGGGAAGCAGCTAGCTAAAGTTAGCTTCTCAGAGTCACAACAGCTAGCCTGCTAGCGTTAGCCGTTAGCAGCGGAGGGAGCGCGCGCGCGCGCACGCGCCGGACACCCAGCATATAAAAGCAGAAAGCTCCTCCTGCGTGGGTCGGAGTGTTAGGTCCACTCCTCCCGGGACTGGTTGTTGTTGGTTATCCCCGCCCGTGTGGCTGGCTGTCCGCTGACTTCCTGCCCCGTCCCCGCAGGTGGAGCCTCCATCATCCTCACCATCATCTCGGCCGGTTCCGCCCAGAGGAGCCCGAGCAGCGCAGCGAGGATGCAGACCTTCCTGAGGGGTCGCCGGGTGGGCTACTGGCTCAGCGAGAAGAAGATGAAGAAGCTCAACTTCCAGGCCTTCGCGGATCTCTGCAGGTTGGTGGTTCTGTTCGGGTGGTTTGGGTCTGACACCGGCTGGTGAGGCAGGAGGTTGGAACCAAGGAAAGTCTGGAAATCTTCACATGGTGGCATTTCATTTTTTGTTTAATTTTATTATCATTTTTATACTTTTTAAAAAGATTTTTTTTTATACCTGGTGGATTTTTATTTATTAAATTAATTATTTTTATTTTGCATTTTTTATTGTACTGGTTTATTTTTATTGTTAATATTTTACAAACATTTTATTTTTTTATTTGCATGTAGTGTAATTTTATTCATTTATTTTGCACTTTGGTTATTTTAGTTTTATTTTATTACATTTTTTACAGATTAAAGCACCTTATTTTACTACATGTTTTATTTATTTTTTACACATGGTGTGTTTATTTTGTTCTCATTTTTCAATTATTTAAATTTTTTGCATAGTGGTGTTTTATTTATTTTACTTTTTACACATGAAGAGTTTTGTTTATTTAGTTTCACTTAGTCATAGTTAATGTATAAATAAATTAATTTAGTTTTTCTTTTCACACAGCAAACTTATTCCAAGAATATCCCCAAAACTTTTGGTTTTCTGGCCTCTCTTACATTAAACCCAAAACTTTTTCTTTAACTTCCACTCTTATGAAGTTGTATTTTAATGTTTTTCCATATAAATGCCTGCAGATTGAGATCAGTCCATGATGAAATCCTTACTCTTTATTTTCCGTTGAATCCCTCCCAAAGCTTCTCCACCTTCACTCCGGTTCTCCTGTTGCATTTACAGCCACGTTTCTGATTTGTAAACAATTCCAACGTTGCAGCTTGGAGTTAAATCCATTACTTAAACTGCAGTATTCTGAAAGTCAGAAGGTAATATCCAGAAGGAAGCAACAGGAGGAGAGTTTCTTGTCGAGGCTTGATTCCTGTGCATTGTTAATGGACTTTCTGGAAAGTTTCCACCAGTGATGGTGCATTCACTGGTACAAAGAGCGCTGTGATTTTCTTTGATAAGTTCAACTGATAATAAGTTGGAATGAGGAACGGATGCTGCTGGCAGGGCAACCCCTCAATTATCTTCTGTCGCAAACATGGCTGAAGGGTTTTTGCTGCGGAGTTCCTAAAAACGAGACTGACTGCATTTTGTTTGACATGCAAAGCGGTATATTTCTCCGCTGGGGATGCTTCCTAAGCAGGTCGAGAGTGCTGAGTGTACTCTCACCTTTCCTGCAGTGGCGGTGTTGACCTGATTGTACCAGCTCAGATTATCTGAATGTAATCCAACAAAAACAATTTTAATCTCCTCATAAAACGCGCCACAAACACCTTCTGCCTTCATCCAAATCTCCCCTGCAGCAATGAGGAGTAACTACTACCTTTACCTGAGTAACTTTTTGGGAAAAATTTACTTTTAGGAGTGTTTTAAAATGTTGGATAAATTATGAAATATCACTACACACACCTGCAGTTTTATATTGAGAAAGTCTGATTTTGAAAAACTTTCTTCTGCCTGCTTTAATGCAGGCAAAATTGAGATTAATGGTACAATTTGTATGCACTCTTCTCAGTCTGCTGCCCGTAGACAGACTGAACAATGTTAGAAATGAATCTTTGTCTCTTCTGACCTAAAAACCGTGTTTGAAATGTTTCTGTCACCAGTTTAACTGCCGCCTCTCACTGAAACTCTTCTTCAGGTTCTTCGCGCTGAACTGAGAAAATTAAGCAACAACTTATCTGTAGGAGGAAGGAAATGACTCGACTGATAACAATCTGATGTTTGGATATATGCAGTCAGTTTTGTTTGTTTTTTAATCACAGGAAGATTTTCTAGTTTTAGTCCTTCTTGTCTTCGTCTTTTCTGGATCCTGTCTGTTGCAGCTGCAGATGAATCCTGCAGGTCAGGAGCAGCTGCCTGCTTTCTGTCTGTGGTGTTCGCCGCAGACCCGACGGCCTTCGGCGCAGCCGAGTCTGAATGTTTGATTAAAATGGTTCTAATCTTGACAAGGTCGCTGCGTTCTTCTTTAACAGGGTTGATGAGATTAAACCCGGTCAAACCTGCACACGTTAAATCACGACGGCGGCTGCAGGATGTAAACATTTAAACTTGTTTCTGTCAATAAAACACCAGATCACTGCAGGCGCTGACTAGGTACGCCATTATCCTCGCTCAAGGTTGAGGGTTGAGTAAATAAAGAGTTCGGTTTTCAAGTCAATATTCCATTTATTCAGTGGGAAACGTTTCCCTGCACTGCAAAAACACAAAATCTTACCAAATATTTTGGCCTAGTTTTTGACCAAATGTGTTAGTGCACTTAAAATGCAACAAAACCAACTTTTCAGCACGTTATAAGAGCTTGTTTTATGCCAATAATTCCTTAATATTGTTTAGAAAAGTGCTGGTTCTACTGGCAGATTATTTCATTTATAACAAGGGGAAAATGTCTTACAATAAACAAAATAATCTGCTAGTACTAAAACAAGCTCTGATAACTTGCTGAAAATTGACTTGAAAGTTAGTTTTGTCTTATTTTAAGTTAGTTACTTGGTAAAGTTTTATGTTTTTACAGTGTGTGTAATAAGTAATAAACCAGATCTGCAACCTGTTGAATAATATTTAGCTTAAAATAAGGAATGAACAAAAATAAAATATCTATAAAAATATAGAGATAATAAAAAATGTAGTTCAACAGTTTTTTTTATTGCATTTATAAATATACTAAAAAGTGCCAGTAATTCCATATTTTCTTATTAAATTGAAAACTTTGTTTAAATATTTTTTGTGTGACATGCCCATCTAAATAAAATTTTGGTTCTGCACAAATAATATATTTCCTACTTTAAATTTTATCAAAATTTATAAATTGTCTTTTTCCCCAAAAAAACAGACAAACTTGTGGGTCTAAATTAGTTTTATCGAAAATGGTTGTTTGGGTGGCTGTGGTAAACGTTTAGTCAAGTCTTCTCTGAAGAATTGTTTTAATTCAGCCATGTTGGAAAATTTTCCAGCGTGAACGCCTTTCTGTGTTGGAAAAATAAAATAAATTCACAGGTTTGGTGTTAATTAAAATCACACATGAGTAAGTTTATCTTGTCTCTAAAACATGATCCTCCAGCTACTTCCTGTTTCCTCTTCATAGTTTCTACCAGTGGTAACATCCAGTTGTTGGTCATGGGACTAATGAGATGCGAAAAGTGCTTCCTTTAATTGCGAGATAAACTCATTTCAATAGGGCCACATAAAACACACTTCATTCTTTCAACAAAACTTTTGGTCAAAAACTTAAAAAAAAAGAAAAAAGAAAATTGTGTTTCCATTCATTTTGAAATGTGAAATTTCGCAATTTTCTGGTCGATGAAAGAAGACGCTTTCTGAACCATTTAGCCTACTTTGTGTTGTCAGACAGGTTCTGCTTTGGTGATTATTTGAATCTACAGTAACCTGGATGTGAAACTGAACTCGTCTTTTCAAAATAAAACGTGGTTAATCAGATACTAAATGATTTGACAACAGGGAAACTAATGTTTCACATGTGGCCATGTTGGTTTAAGTAAACTACATGATCTTAAAACATGTTTGATGATCTGAAACGTTTATGTGACGGTAAAAAGCAGAAACGGAGTAAATACTTTTTGTGACGGGAGACTTTTCTCCCTCTGCCTCTTTAACAAAGCATCAGAGCGAAGTCATCTCCATATCTGAGGTGGGTTGAAACTGCGGCTCCATTCACTCCACATGAAACCCGCCAGCTGCAGGATTAAATATCTGCATTGTTGCAAAGCTGTGAATGGCCATGCTGCTGTTACCATGGCGCTGTAAATCAAGCCGGACTGGCTGAGCCGAACCGAGGCTCAACCTGTTTTCAGTTCCTCTCACCTGCAAATGCGTGAGCTACGGAAACAACTTATTGATTCATGAGTTGATATAAAATTGATTGATCAACTGACAATTAATTTATAGGCGACCATTTTCTTAAAAACTTGTTTTCTCTTCAATCAAGAGGAACGAGCATTTCTGTCAGAAAAATTGTACTGTTAAGTGGCACTACTTCAACATTTTTACACAAGGAAAAGTAAAAAGTAGCCGTCCAAGAAATTATTCAAACGAGTGAAAAAGTATTTGGTAAAACGTCTGCGGAAGTCCTGAATAACTGATCAAATTATCATTAAAAAATTACATCACAAGAAAAAAATATAAAGTTAAGTGAAAATTTTGGGATTTTAAGCACAATAATACATATAAGGAGCAAAAAATAATAAAGTCAAGACATAGAAAATGTTTCCAAATCAGTTTTTTCTCAACAGAAAACTTATAAAACTAACAGAAACTGCAGGTGTGTCTGAAGGCAGGCCCGGCGGCATTGGGGGGAACTGGGGGACCATTGCCCGCCCACAGAATCTTTGACATGAATATTTATTAATTAATGTACTTGATGTATCATTCAGTTAGTAACTTTTATTGGCTTTATATGACATTGATATTTATATGTGAGACATAATAACGGTAATAAATTATATTTGACTCATTTTAGAATAAAACTGACTTTTTGTTTTTCTTTTTTTCAGAAAAAGGGGAATAGAAGTCGTGCAGGTACGTGATCCTCATCGTTTTATTCAGCTTTTATTTTTTTTGCATGATTTAATTGATGATGTGATTCTGCTGTGTAAGCAGCACCTCATAATGTGTCAAAACATCAATTCTTCAAACTGTTGACAGATTATCACCACTAATATTGGCGTTGAAAGGACTTATGCTCTTTATCTATTAAATATTTTGCAGTGATTAGATTCTGGTAAACTGATGGTAGTAAAGAATGAAGTTATGAATGATTAGCTGCAGAGGAACCCCGACTCGTATCTTCATTCTTTTCTTCTTGAGGGAGTTTGGACTTTCCTCCATTGTTTGCATCCCTTCCTGAAAGTTATTTTCTTCTTCTTGCTGTTGCGATTATATAAAAGGACATATGAAGTTCTGGGAACGCTCCCAAAGTAAGCAGTGCCTTTTTTCCAAGTCTCCTGTGGGAGACTGCGGGTCCGAAACTCGGACGATGGGAGACTGATGTTTAATCTACCTGCTGTCCACCGAATCCATTGTCTTTACTACAGATCTGCAACCTGCTTCTGACCTTCTGAATGTAATAAAACATAAACAAAAATTTAATATAAATGTAGTTTTTTTTTTAATGCAGTTTAGCCGTTTTAAATTTTTTAATTGCATTTCCGCAAAAGAATGAAACCATAAAGTAGCAGAAATGTATGCAGATCTATTTTACTACTTATTAGATGGAAAACGTCGTGCTTTTAAAAAAAATATTATATAGAACTGAAGTATTTCACTAGATTAATCGTGATTAATCGATTAATCATTAACGGCAGTGTGCAGACTCTGGTTAGTAAAAAAAAAGCTGAATGTGCAGCAATTAATCCAAAACTGTAACAAATAAATATACATTCTGCTTTTAAGATAAAAAACAACTTTTGTCTGTAAATATGTTGATATGTAAACAGGTTTTACTGAAGTGGTACAGTTTTACCTTCACCTGGTTCAAACTCTGGGTAGAAAAACTCATTAAAAACATTTAGCTACTGAATTACCAATCGGTAAAAGAAAAAAATAGACAACAGATCAGTCCAAAGCACAAAGGACAAATATTAGAAGTATTTTTTAGTTGCAGATGCATCTTTTGCTATAAATAATCAAGTGTTCAATGAAGAAATATTTTATATTAGGAAATAAATGTTTTTCTTATTTAAAAATTGAATTTATTTGCATATAAACATTATATAAAATAGGCTTAAGTGATTAAAATTCATTTTGAAAATGGATTACTCATTAGTGAAATAATCATTAGTATCACAGGTATTTCTAAAAGACCTAAATATTTCCTGTATTGTTTTGTCATGACTATCTAAACAAAGCTTTGTGTTTAAATAAGGCGCGTCTTTGCCTCCATTCGTCAGGCCTGAAGGTTTGTGTGTCAGAAACATTTCCCGACAGAGACAGTTTGTGTCGCCGCCGGGTTACTGGAGTAAGAGCAGGATGTTTACTGCAGATAAAACCCGTTTCTGCTTTGCTCATTCCCGTTTCATTTGGAGCTTTAGAGACGGCCGGTTTCACAGCTGCTGCGTTGACAGCCTTCAGAGGAAGCTGGTAGGAGATGATTTGTCTCTTTCAGGCTAATCAGCTGGCCTTGTCCCTGGAGAGAGACAGACCAGCTGACCCTGGCGGTGACGGCTCGATCCTGGAACCATAAGCAAACCATGGAAAAATAAAGCCCAAAGCAGCTCGTTTACCATCTTTGTGTTTGGTTTTAACCCAAAAAACATAATAAACACCGTTTGTTGCTTTTAGACTGTTTTTGCTCCGCTAATTTAATCGACGTAAGAAGAAAATAATCATCAGCTGAGACAGAAATAAACCCAAAAAAATGAATCCGGAAGGGAAAGGTTTGCAGTTGAGATAATTTATCTCACTTGTTAATATTAATCAGCAATCAATTATTCTGACGATTAATCAGTTTAATCTGAGTAAAATAATTTCATTAAACCACTTAAGCTCATTCTATACTAATACTAGAAACACTTTTAAAACATGCTTTTCAATTATATTTTGAATATTAGCATATTTTTATTTCTTAAATAAAAGAATAAACATTTATTGCCTAAACAACATATCACTCCTGTCGTGAGTGCTTGATCACTCGCAGCATCTGCATCTACAAAAAAAAAGTTCTTTTGTAATCAATTTGTGAAACGTTCAGCCGTGTTTGCTAGACTTAAACATCAACGCAGTCGCTAATCTGTTGACTGCTTTTGAATTAAGCAACAAATAATTGGATAGAAAATATATTTTTTACAGAATTTGAATAAGACGAAGCTGAAACTATGTAACTTGAGGACTTCTGGGAATAGCATATATTCAAACAAAGGTATTAATCTTAAATGTAAAATGCGCAAATATTTAGTGCAGTTTTGGCTTAATTATGGCTCTAATTATGTTGTTGCTTTCATTAAGTGGTCTTTATTTGAGTCTGTTATTGATTATTATCAATAACAGACTCAAATATTATTATTTAAATGATCGATTAATCAAAATTAATTGTTTCAGTTCTATACAGATCTCCAGTTATTTTGGACTGTCCGTGTTTGCAGATGGTTTCATGTTCTCTGTAAAACAATTTACAGGCAAAGGTTTCTTGTTTTGTATAATTTTGGCTTAATTACTGCTCTGAGTATGTTATCAGCAAATGGCCTTTTGAGGCCGTATACTCCTGGTACAGATTACTCGATTACTAAATTACATGCTGATTGATTAATCATGATTAATCTCATTAATCGTTTCAGTATTATATGTATTATCCAGCAGGTTTTATTGCTCCGGGGTGTCGCTTGTGGGTATGGTCTGTGGGTAAATCTGGCTTCCCCGGGGATCTCATTTTGTGTTTCCATTTCCAGTGTGGGAAAGCCGTCCACTTTGAGCCCCTCAAGACCGACACAGATAGAAAAAAAAAAAAAAAAAAGTTCTGGATGACTATTGGAAACACTCAGATCTTCCTGTTGCTTTCTACTTGCGTTTGCGTTTGTTGTTTCTGCCGCTGCAGCTCCTGAGCGCGTGGATCTATCCGTCATCCACACATCAGCCGTTCGGTATGTCAGAGCTGATGAGATTAACTGTGCCGGCTTTGATCCGATATTCACTCACAGAGAGAGGACTCTTTATTGTTTCAGTCTGAGGAAAGTCATTGAGTTTGCCTCCATCTTTACTCTAAGTGCTGAGGAAAGCATGGAGGTGGAAAAACAAAGTCTGTCAGGTCAAACAGTGATGATCTCTGACCGGGTGGTTTCTGGCTTCTGAGAGGATTTTTCTTTGTTGAGAATCAGGTGATTAGAGCCATTTGTCACTAAGACTTCATCATATATTGTATTGCAGTATTGATGTCTCCAACAATGGCAAACAAAATAATTCAAGACTAGAAAATACTGCAGGAATACAATACTTTCTATGCCATGTCGGCCTGTTGCAACTAGCAATTAATGACATTGATAAATGAAAACCAACTCAATAATTTTCATTAGCATGATTTATTGTTTTTCTTTCGTTTCTTTCTACCAAAAACTGGATAGTAAAAGTTTTCATTTTGGTGCTTTGGTCTCATCTCGCCCTTTTTTGAAGAATTTTTTGAAGGAGGCCACTCCAAAAGCAGGAAGTGGACCATTATGCAGGGCATTCTGGGTAAATACAACCAAAACAAATGTGAGAGTCTGGAGTTAGTGGGAGAAATGTTTTGTGGCCTTTTACCAAAAATAAAAGAGAAACCCTACAGCCTCTAAAATCTGACGCCACTCCATTTCTGTTTACATTTTGCGAAGAAAGAAGTTGTCCTGTGACATGCAGCCTTACTCATCACTGCACAGTGACTCACTGAAACACTTCAGGCCTGGTTTGTTGTGGATTTAAACCAAGTGGAGCAGAACCTTTTCCTATTAATATTTAGAGGATAACATAGTTTGCTTGTGGTGCATCAGAGCTCGCTTTAACCTGCTACTGATCCAGTTTTTACTCTGAGCTTCATCACCATCACAGAGCTTCTTCCTGCTGGACTGTGGAGTATTGAAGAGATCCCATTAGCCTAATGAGATCCCAGCTTCCTGGAGGATTTATGGTTTCAGGGGAAATCCTTCATTCCACTGTCATGTTCTCGTATTTCCACCAGACTCTAAAACCTTGATTTTCAAATTGAGTGTAATTTTATTTTTATCTGAGAAGGAGAAGACCACTTAGCACCAGTCCAGTCAGATGTCTGCTTTGTGGTTTTCCTAGAAACAGAATTTAAACTGAGATAAACAACTGAAATTTGTCACTTTCACAGTGGCGGGCACCGCAGACTAAAAAATTTGTTGCACTTACCCTGAAGCACAAATAAACATTAGTTCTGCTAAAGCGCTACACCAACTAATTGTTTAGTTTCTACTTAACAATTTAAGTAGAAACTAAATTGTTATGGCAACATGGTTTTTACGGAGGTTAATGCTAAAACACTGTACACAATGTTGTGTTGCCTAACATTGGTATAGCATAGCATTATTGTGCTATACCAAACAGAATTCAGTGGAACGCTAATGCGCTATACTGACAGTTTTTACAGAGGCTAACGCTAAAACACTACAACACAGTATTTATCAGAAGTTAACACAAACTGTCATATCAACTATATATAGTGGAAGCAAAAGTGCTAAACCAACACAGCTTTCAGAAGAAGCTAATTCTAAATGTTATGCTGACATGGGGTTTATATGAACACAATAAAAGAAGCTAAAGTGCTATTCCAACACAGTTTTAGGAAGGCTAATGCTAAAGTTCTGCACAAACACTGTTTAGCAGAAGCTAACGCTAAACATTATAGCAACACTGTATTAAGAAAAATTAATGCTAACGTGCAATAGCAACTAGGTTTCTATGGAGGCTAACGCAAAAGCGCTACACCAACACAATATTTGTCGAAAGCTAATGCTAAAGCACTAGCTCAAATAATATTTTTCTTGATAGACTACAACTTTTGATCAGCAAGATATTGTATTTGTTTATTTCTT